TATATATTCATGTTCGGTATTCTAAAAATTTTACACAATCTATGGTGTTTGATTTATTTAGCCTTTATTAAACAGTTATAATAGATGTAATAAGAACATAAAGTCAGCCGAGAACCTGTTTTATACGCAATAACTCTCCTCATGCCCCTGTGCTAAAAAAAACGACATGTAATACTATAAATACTAATAAAACAAACGGGGCGGGGCACTTTGAGAGGAGTGAGAGAGGTCCTAGGGAGTTTTGGTATAAAATTATATTGCATAAGCTCAAAATCTTCTTGAAATATCGCCCGGAAATGATAGTGTTACACACAGAGAGAATGTATAAATTTACGACCTTGAACTTTGACCTTTTGACCTCAAAATCAATAGGGGTCTTTATTAGGCCACAGGGAGTTGTTATGTAAAATTTCATTGCGATATCTCAAATGATAGAGATATCGTGTGGAAACAAAAGTGTTATAACACTATATATATGTATATATGTATATAACAGACAGAATTTGCTTATTTATGACCTTGACCTTTGACCTTTTGACCTCAAAATCAATTGGGGTCTTCTTTAGTCCATAGGGAGTTGCTATGCAAAATTTCATTGCAAAAGCTCAAAGGGTTCTCGAGATATCGTGTGGAAACGAAAGCGTTACAGACAGACAGAAAGACGGACGGACGGACGGACAAACCCAAATTAATATCCCCCACTTTTCAAGCGGGGGACAAAAAGATGGATGCCTGGATTGGTATATATTTTTTGGCCTAATTTCATTGAAAATGATTCTAATAATATATTTCTAGAATATAAAGAAATTGTAAACTTTCTACGATATTCAAAAGTCTGCTTTTCTGAACATGCTGAAACCATCCTTATTAATGTATACAAATATTTTTCACTTCAAATTCCATTTTTGTAAAAATTTGACTAAAAATTTTAAAACTACGCGGTGAAACTTGTCCATTTTATTCATTAAAGAATGATTCAAGTCGTTATTTTCAAATATTTGGACAAAAAATTGTTTGTATCATCTGTCCTTAATAAGAATACTCTCTTTCTGAGTGTACAGGATTTAACATGTTAAAAATTGTTATACAAATCATGTACAGTAGATTGTTTCCTTTATTTATTATACGTTTCAGTAAGGAGGCTTCTTCCTGTGTATATGGGAATTAGAATTGTTATAAATGTAATTTTCTTCTTTATTTCCTAAAGTACACCCTATTAAGGATACTCTCTTTCTGGGCGTGCTGTGTAAACATCCTCTCCACTCTAGACGTCACGATCCCCTCCAGCTTCCCGAGGTGTTCCTCTATGTTCTGGGGTTGTTGTGAGATGACCTCGTTTTCTATCTGCCGCCGATTGATCTCGCTCTGACGCGCCTCCTGCTCGGCGAGCTGATACTGTAGGGACTCGATCTTGGCGTTCTGAGCCTCCAACACCGCCAGAATACTCTGGATATTCTCATTCAACTGTTGAAAAAAGTGTACAGTAATCTCTTCAAGTATACTTTGTATTTCATTGTTGTTCAGCTGTTTAAAGGTACCGATCTAATAAGAATTGTCAGTATTCAAATATATCACAAACTTTTCCGTTTAAATCCTACACAAATGACCTACTGCTTGAACCAAGCTATACAAACTGAGGTTATGGATTCTTTGTCCACATTTTCCCTGATAATTTCTCGTGTGTGGATTTCTTTTATTATCTCCCTGTCAAAAAAATAGTAAAACCTGTTTCATAAAAACATCCATCTACACAGTGAATAAAATATATGTTACTAAATCTCAGGCTTTGACACAATCCCAAGATTACTATCACTTTTTTTTTTACAATCCTTTAGCTTTTCATAAGGGTTATTATCAAAATCCCCATAATTGTAAAGAGAGTGGATAACTCTTACCTTGATTTAGCCACTGGAGCAGCTACAGGTGCTTCTTTGGGACTACAATACAAAGACAAAGCTTAATATCCACATTTATTACAGAAACCTCATTCAGAAAGCCTGGTTCTATACTGACTGACCTCTGTAATTCTTCGCTCTGTTCCTCTATCTGTTCCTCTATCTCTTCACTACTGCCATCTTGTACATTCTGCGTGTCTTCCTCCTTTTCGTAGTTGTCTTCCTTGGATTCCTCTTCTTCCTCCTCTATCTGTACATCATCATCCTCCATGTAAACATCCCTAAATGTTAATTCACATGTACAAGTGTCTGAATTTAAATGTAATTAATTTTAAGCATATGTATTATTCACGGTTCTTTCGTTAAGAGAACCAAAATAATTCTGCAAAATTTGCAACTTCAATTTCACATTTGGGGATATACAGCATTTGTAATTTCTTTTAGAACAAAACTTCATCATAAAAATCCTTACTCGTTCTGTATATCTTCCAGCACCTGTGTCTCTGTGTTAACATCAGGAGGTTTGGGCCAGGAGGTGGGCATAGAACCAGACTCCATGTCCCCGCTGTGTTCCTCAAACGGCTGAGTGCTCTGTGGGTCCTCCTATTACAAAATGTAACATTAAAGCAGTTAGTTAAAGAAAACAATATTGCACGAGTTTCATGAATGTCAGAGAAAGCTACAGTAACATAGCACATTCAAGGAATTTATTTTTCATAGCTTTAATATAGATCAAACCCACAAAATATACATTTTTCAAATTAAATCCTTCCAAAATGTACAATGGAAGTTCAGTGAATAGATCATTTACAGTATATAAAAGAGAATACATTTGCAAAATCAGGAACTATTAATATTCTACTTTATTTCATGCATTTTCCTCATGTAAACAGACCTGTAAGTTTTCCTCCTCCTCCTCCTCTTTGTACGACTCGCCTAGAACCTCTGCTACCTCCTCATCATTCTCGTCGTAAGACTCTTTCATCGTCGACAGTTTCTGAGCCCCGAGCTGTCCCACCTCAAACCCGGTGGTACTGCTGGTGTTCTCTATAGACTTCCTGCTGGACTCGGTGCTGTTCAGTGTCTGTTCCAGACTCTGCCTGGTGCTATCAAACAGGTCGTCCACACAGACTTTCTGTAGAGCTGAGGGTTTGTCCTCCGCCGTGCTCTCCTCAATGCTGGTCAGACTGTCCCCTGTCTGTGGTAGTTTAGTCGGGGTGACGTCCGGCTGGTACGGGGAGGGGGCGTCTTTCTCTGTGGGGGTCTGGGTGATTGTGCTGCCCTCTGATATGACTGACTGGTCCCCTGAGCTGTGGGGGGAGAACATTTCATCATTAAGGCCGGTGACCTGTGTAAAGCTACTGGTACTTGATCCACTGGCTCGGATGGGGTCAGTAGTAGACAGATCTTTTCTGTAAGAGAAAATTAATTTTTTGCTCTACAGCTTCCTAGAAATTTGCATTTAGAAAACATCATTTAAAAATTTAATACAGACAGTCAGAGACAGATCTTTTTCTGTAAGTGAAAATTAACTTTAGGATCTTAGAAATTCAGATTTAGAAAACAATGAATTTCTTCAAAACAAATATACAATACAGGAGAGGAGAAGCCTCCTATGAAGCCCTACCTAGGACTGGCTGACGTGAAAGCATCAGGGGTGAGGAGTACAGGCTGGTCCTGCTGGAGAGAGGTGTCCACTCGACTACTGTCTAAACTGAAGCTCATGTCTGACAGGGCGTCCTGGAGACCTATCAATACACCAACACGTTACTACAGGCAATCAGATAAAAAACCAGAAGTCTCTGTCGAGACTGTAGATCTACTGGTTTATACTTAAAACAAAGGAAGAGAAAAGTAGCAGTTGGGACTTGAGACTTTAAATCAGCAATAAATAGAAAAATGATCCTTGCCACTCATCAAAATAAAAACCAATGCACAGAATTATGTATCTTAGTATAGTCTACTTGTGTGCCAAGTTATACTGAAATCAGACCAAAACTGCAGGAGGAGTAGCATTTTCAAAGAATTTCACAAAAATTTCTATTTTTAGTAACCATGGCAACATTGTTCATTGAAATCAAAAACCGATGCACAGAATTATGTATCTTAGTGTAGTCTACTTGTATGCCAAGTCATATCAAAATCAGACCAAAACTGTAGGAGGAGTAGCATTTTGAAAGAATTTCACAGAAATTTCTATTTTTAGTAACCACAGCAACACCGTTTATCGAAATCAAAAACCGATGCACAGAATTATGTATCTTAGTGTAGTCTACTTTGTGCCAAGTTATAATGAAATTGGACCAAAACTGTAGGAGGAGTAGCATTTTGAAAGAATTTCACAGAAATTTCTATTTTTAGTAACCACGGCAACACCGTTTATCGAAATCAAAAACCGATGCACAGAATTATGTATCTTAGTGTAGTCTACTTGTGTGCCAAGTTATACTGAAATCGGACCAAATCTGTAGGAGGAGTAGCATTTTGAAAGAATTTCAAAGAAATTTCTATTTTTAGTAACCACGGCAACACCGTTCATCGAAATCAAAAACCGATGCACAGAATTATGTATCTTAGTGTAGTCTACTTGTGTGCCAAGTAATATTGAAATTGGACCAAAACTGTAGGAGGAGTAGCATTTTGAAAGAATTTCAAAGAAATTTCTATTTTTAGTAACCACGGCAACACCGTTCATCGAAATCAAAAACAGATGCAGAGAATTATGTATCTTAGTGTAGTCTACTTTTGTGCCAAGTTATATTGAAATCAGACCAAAACTGTAGGAGGAGTAGCATTTTGAAAGAATTTCAAAGAAATTTCTATTTTTAGTAACCACGGCAACACCGTTCATCGAAATCAAAAACCGATGCACAAAATTATGTATCTTAGTGTAGTCTACTTGTGTGCCAAGTTATATTGAAATCGGACCAAAACTGTAGGAGGAGTAGCATTTTGAAAAATTGTTTACAGACAGACAGACAGAAACGGAGGGACGACGGACGCATTACTATCGCATAAGCTCTTCTGGTCTCTGACCAGTAGAGCTAAAAACAAGGCTTTATGTTCTCTGATAGTTATATATGTATGCACTGGAAATGGATCCAGTTAAAAAAATAGAAAGGATGAAATGAATGTTCTTGAACAAGATAATGAGGGAAATATGAAAGACTGATATTGTGAAATTCAAAATATACATAAATAAATGTAGCTGTAAATCAAATAAGAGAGGGGTAAAATGAGTCACAGAAGGGAAGATAGATATACATGTATTTAGGACAGGAATAATAAAATCACAAAATATAGTACAGAAAAGGGAATATTAATGATGTACAACAAGTGTTGATAAATGTCAATATAACGATTACACTGATGTGACTTCATACAGTGAAAAAAAGGGGCCACATAACACAACACTCCTCATCAAATCTGTCACCCAGCCCATCTACACTATATACACTGTGTATTATAATAACCTCACTTTTATAGGTTTTTTTTTTTTAATCTTAACTTAAAACATATTTTTATTTAAGAATTTAATAATTCTTGTGTGTATCCCTCTTCCTGAAAAAAGCCCCAGAGCAGAAAATAACAAATTTTACAAGATGTGTCACAAAACAAACATCAAATGCACACTCCACAACACAGGCACGTTTACCCTTCTTCTTTTGTCCTTTATGGGAAATGAAAAGCAACAAGGTTTGGGAATAAAACACAAGGAAACACATGAACCTTTCACAGCATCACTCAAAGCAAAATAAGTTTAAAAATGAATTGTGAGATGAAAAGGTAGAAAATATGGCAGAAATGAGTTCTTTTAATTAAGAAAAAATTGATCACCTACAAAAACAAGAGTTCAAACTTGAAAAGGGACGAGCATGATGTCTGAGATAGGGCATAACTGAAGACCCGTATAAATCCCTTACTGAGTAACTAGTTTACCTGTGTCATCATGAGAGACGGTGCTGACAGAGGGCGTGGGGGGAGGGGGTGCTGAGGACTCCGGCCGAAATCTTATCAACAACTCCTGCAGGGCCCTGAAATAACAGACGAGTGAAATAATTCATTTTTTACCAATTACTTAGGATTTAGAGTGTATGATCTTGGACTCGGTGTTACTGTCTTACTTTGGATGGACGGTGTAGAGTTTGATCTGGACACCTGATGCAGTGGTCGTCTCATGTTTGTGATCCGGATCCTCTCCTCCTTCTTCTCTGTCCAGCTCACCTACAGACACAGACAAACAAGTCATGTAATACCCTCTACACTCTACTTATGTATCAGAGTTCTTGAAATCTTTCGGTCCTGTCGGCAAGACCGATAAAAACAACCAAGGACCGATAACTTTACGTTCTGTGTCAGTCCAAATGACCGGTAGATGTTGAAAGAGCAACTTGTGAAAATCCAACTAAATTTCGTACGAATTTCCCATAACCGACCAATCATAATCTGTGAAACGCTTTTCAGTATCTCGTAATGGCTTCTTTGATGAACGCAAGTACCAGACTATGATTAATTAACTGTTAAAACAAGTTTTTTGACGGCGCTAGGGTAAGTCAGGCAAGAAAAACTGAACTAGATTAAAAACTTTAGAAGAATTCAACACAAATTATTATACAGTGATCAAATCGGCATGAAGTGTGCAGTGTGTATTGACGCAGGGTGCAGAAAGTATTGATAATTCACAAGAAAATTCAAATACAGTTTTCATCTTTTTATTGAATTTTTTTTTGGACCGATAGAAATCCGTCTGGACTGACAAACTTCCCATGGCAGTCAGTCCAAATGACTGACAGCGAAAAGAAGATTTCAAGAACTCTGTGTATGTATAATTACATCTGAGTAGGTGACCTTACCAGTTGTTATTTCATCCAGATGAGATTCCTCGGTGACCTTTTTGAACTTTTTCTTGCTGGCATCCAGAATGGCGAAGCTGAGGCATGTCTGAGCAAGCAGGAACTCGGAGACAGAACTCACGTGAGCTGTGTTAGCTGCCGAGTCTTGGTGAATTTGTAACACATACAGCACCTAATCGTAAAAAAGTGACATTTTAATGCAGTGACAAATGCTTCCAATAAATCTGAATGAAATTCAAGTAAAGTAATTTTTTAAGAAATAAATTTAAATTTATTGTTCTCCTTGCAAGAAAAGATATTGGAAATTCTTCTAAATAAATCAATATTTCAAGACTTTTATATCAAATTAATGTTCATCACAGTTGTAAGCATTTTTAGAAAAAATTTCTTACGTGATCAATAGCAAAATATAAACTACATGTACACTCTGCATCTAGCACCATCAATATGTGTCATATTCTATACAACAGAAGCCCTGTAGAGGTCCTACATATGATTCATTACCTGTCTCTTGATGTCAGACAGCACTAAATATTTGGCACTGAGGTCTAATCCTGCCTTCATACATGGCTCGGCACTGAAGTTTGTAGGTAAATCGGGTGGACACATGAACCTGAAAAACCAATGAGAATAATTAAGACAAATACTTATAATAGGGAATACCCAAAACAAAGCGATTAAATCTAGGTGATATTTTGAGGAAATGTCACGATGTATAGAGTGGATTCTTCCAGCTTAAGTTTCCTTTGGGTAATTTGAGAATGTGAATGCAGTTAGCAACATTTTTTAGATTGAAAATTATCAATGTTTTTAGCATTGGAAACTATAACCCTGTTTCTTACTGAGCTTTCTTCAATAAATTCCATTTTGTAATTGGACAACAATGACAAGAACTTAGCGTGAAGGGCATTTTTGTGCAAACCAGTTTCTTACATATCCTCTGATTACATATTGTGTAATTTGTCTGAATTTTTTCATCAAGTGAAATATTGCCAAGTATTACCAACTTGGTGTTAAGCAATGGACAATCAATCAATCAATCATTTTATCATAGCAGGAATTTATCTCTGATGTTGAGATAGTAAACTAGTGCTGATAGTCTGATGGCTTATCTGTAGCAGGCTATCTATATAGAGTTTGTGCATGGTAAACAGTTAATGCCACACAACACTACGAAATTAAGATCTTAACCTACCTTAATGTCTGTAAACACACCCAGGACTCACAGCTCCAGATTTTGATTTCCTGATTGTTACATGCTCCAGTGACAGCAAACCTCCAAAACTGGGTACTGTAGAACAATAAATCAAGGTTTACAGTGAAATCACTCAATTTTACAGAATCAAAAGAATTCATACCCAAATGTAAAATTTCAACCATGTATAAATAAGACAATGCTTCTTCATTAATAAAACCCTCTGGGCTCATTGTTGAAACCGAGACCTACTTACTCAGCACTGGAGTTCCTATGATCATCAAGGAAAAACAAGGAAGACAACTGCTTCCCATCATGTGGCTTCCACTGGTGTAAACATCTACAGATAAAATAATAATTGTATATTACATTCACAGAAATAGTATTTCCATTGTTGTAAATATCTACAGTTTGAATCTTACTAGTGTTACATACTAATGAGAAATAGTACATACTATAAAAATTCAAAATAAAGAAAAAATTTCATAAAATGCACCTATTATTATGGAATTTGGAATATTATTTGCAGGTAATTGTATGAGTCCTGATGCTTCCAAACATGTGCCACTAAAGATTTCATGTTTTCATCATATTAAATTAATAAGTGCAGTTTAATATAATATTTAAATTTTTTTAAGGGAGTATGTATTTAAAGTATTCTTTAAGGGACTATAAAAACTGTTTTGTTTTATTCATCAATTTTAATACAATACTGTATCTTACTGCTAACAAGAAACATTGTTTAAATCTGCCTATAAGCCATTAAGTATAACAATGCCTTCCTGAGCTCCAGAAGACATTACCTTGGTGAGGTGCTTTCACTCATATTGACTTGGAAGAACTTGACTTCTCCATCTAGACTGGCCGTAGCTAAGGCTGTACCATCAGGAGAGAAAGCAGCATCCATCACGGCCTACAATACAATAACAACACTCTAGTATCATCCTACAGGATTGAGAGATTGAAAAGTGTCTTCTTCAAATTTGGACACATGAACTAGTTTCTTGTGGACTTCAGAAGATAAATGTCATGTAAAATTGTAAATTCCTTTCAAGTCTTACCTTTCAAAAATTTACAATATTGAATTAAAATGATTTTCATTTTCTGCTCTTTTAAAACTTTTGAAATTCATGCTCAACTTATTTGTTTGAATACTACAGGAAAAGATTACCTGTGTGTGGCTGTCAATTCTAATGAGTCCAAATTCCACATCATCTACAGGAATTGGTCCACTGCCATGTTCTCTTGTCACCATGTCTATATTCCAAATCTCACACTGAAAGAAAAAATCACATCTGAGTAAACTGCAAAGAAAGTGAGGTCATTAAAAATCTTACATAAACTTACATATAGTGATGTTGCAGTGATTGGGAAGGCCAAAATGGTCAATGGGACTATGGCGTAATTGTCAACATTTTTGATGGGCCATTTCAAAAATGAATGGGCCATCAATATAATCTGAAGGGCCAAAACAAATATGAAATACGAGAGAAAACATGATTTTTATTAACCGAATCTGATTTTTAACGCATGAAATGCAGCAAATTTAAAGGAACTTGCTTAGAATATAACTAACCCGTATTTTGTTTTAAAATTACAACAGTTTTGGAAAGGGAACAGCCCTACCATACAAATGAATGAAGTATCGCTCCGTTTAACCGAAAGTACTTTTTGACAGGTTTCAACCAATGAGATTGACTGCATTTAAAACGGACGCAAAACAAGAAAGAAAGTTGTACGCAAAATATATTTCCAGATAACATCGCAAAAAATTGAATGCGCACCTTGGCACCATGATTGATTGATTTAATGCGCCATTTTTCACTTCAATGCGACTATGGCACATGGCGCAAGCCCTTCCCAATCACTGGATGTTGTAAGAAAATTCTCAGGACAGGCTTTAGCTTTGCTCAGTCCATTCAGGGCTATGACAGCTAACTATAAAATTGTATTTTAGGTGGTACCCTTTCTCCATGCTAATTACTATAATAATGTTTTGAGGTGGTACCCTTTCTCCCTGCTAATAACTTCTATAAAATTGTACCTGAGGTGGTACCCCTTCTCCGGCATACTATTATAATACTGTTTTTAGGTGATCCCTTTCTCCCTGCTTATTTATTTAATACTGTATATGTGGCAGTACAATTTTTCTATAATATGTATTTGAGGTGATATCCTTTCTCCCTGCTAACTACTATTATGACATATTAGAGGTAGTACCCTTTTCCCATGTTAACTACTATAATAATGTTTCGAGGTGGTACCCTTTCTCCCTGCTAACTACTATTATAACGTATTAGAGGTGGTACCCTTTCTCCGTGGGTCAGCACCAGCACCCTGGAGGCGTCCTGAGTGGAGGATTCCGTCACCGAGCTGTCGTCACAATCGTCGGGGATAAACGGGCACCAGATCACACGGTGGTACTCTGTAGAGATGGTCCCCCGGGGACGAGCGACCTTCAGCAATAGAGGTACTCTTACAAAGGTCAAGGACAAAAAACTCTTGCATGTTTTAACAAAACACTTTGTAAAGCAGGCACACAGACAGATGATGAACATTTTTCATGGCATATGAGTGATCAACACACCCACAGTTTGATATATTTGAGAAATAAGTGTTTGAGATAACAAACTTCAACTGTGTGTTGGCAATGCATAAAATGATTAACAGTAAAAGAACCTTTAAATACCGTATAACGGGTAATTTTTACTGCTGTAAATTTTTACGAATTTCGGTTGAAATAGGGTGATTTAATTTTATACGTGTTAAATTTTTACAAATTGAGCATTTCCGTAAAACTTAAAATCATTGGAGGTGAAGTTCCAGATCAATGTTTTGCTTTTTGAATGCGTTAACATACAAATACATGTTTTAAATGTGTCTGGACGGCCTGATGTAAAAATAAAAACGAAATTGTTCCCGTAATTACGAGTGTCAATTCATTAAATGATGATATGTTTATTCATTTAAATACCTTTTTATATCACATGCCCTGTACTTATTCCTGTTTTCAATTAATACACATGTCTAGTATAATTATTGTTGCGCACCACGTGCCCGTCTTCATTTTAATGGAAACAAAGAGGGATAACTCAAACCATGCATCATGAGTAAGTTGACAGAATGTACAGGGGACACGGATTACAGTGTACTAAAATGTCGAAGTTTTCTCTAGAAGCAAATAAGAAAGAAGAAAGGGTCAAAGTCTTGAAAAACGGATATAATTTGAAGACTTCAGTCTGTAATAATTAAGCCATTATCAGAAATCATGCGTAACGTAAAAGTAACCAGGTAATTGATGATGTTTATATAATTTGTGCATTAAGATTTACTCGTTTTATCCTAATTGATGATCAATTAAAAAGTTCATAAAAATACCAACGGTTGTAAGTACTAATTCTATAGCCTCCAGGTACTTAACTAAATGGCAATTATAACACTGAAATACTCTCATAATACAATGTTGAAAATTTAGGCGAGGAGTATTTTCTTCTGTGAAATTTTACGTGTTTAAATTTTATGGATTTATAAACCTTGTAAAAGTTAGTAAAAATTAGCAGCACGTAAAAAATAGACGTTATACCGTACTTCTTAATATAAAATTAAACAGAGGATACTGAAGCTTTTTATCGTCACCCTCCTTGACATTGTGTACAAGCAGATTCCCTATTTCGTCCACAGCTGCCAGGATGACATCATCAGTGTAAGCGAACGCGATGTCCACCACCCGACCCGTCAGGTCCTTCAGTAACGCCCGCTCCGCTGTCTTCCTGTTGATGATCCGGACCACGCCCCCTGATTTACCTACAACAAACAGGAATTTAACTATGTACAAGACAATGCCCAAAGATTTACCTATAACATACATCAAACAGGAGGTTTGCCATAGACATGTATAAACTACAGCATGATAAGAAGAATATAACAGTCTCAAGTCTTTTGCATTCTGTTATTAAAACACAGTATTATTAATCTTACATACCTATATTAAAACTTTTAAAATTAGTCAATTCATTAAACTGTTATATTCAAGTAATTGAGGTATATTTATAATTACTGAATACTGACATATTTATACAACACTAGTCTTTATTTTCAATATTATTACATGTACCTCTGAGTGAGTATGCAGCATACACATTAAGTCTGTGTAGAGTGACTAGATTTCCTACATAGTACACGGACTCCCATTCAAACTTCACAACAGGTGTTGTCTTTACCTAAAATCAAATCAGAAATGAGGCAGGGTGTCATATTCATCATCTTCTAAAACTTATTTGTCATTCTTCATTAACTGTAGATTCCTTATTTTCCATGAATATTTATACCCCCCGCTTGAAAAGCGGGAGGGTATATAGTAATCGTTAATTCCGTCCGTCTGTACGTCTGTCCGTCCGTCCGTCTGTCTGTCCGTCCGTCTGTCTGTCCGTCCGTCTGTTACGCTTTGGGGTACCCATCTCTTATCCGCAACTCCTCTCATACCACTGAATGAAACATGATGAAACTTTCACAGAATCTTTATTACATATTGCCATTGTGCACCTCCTATTTTGCTTTTTGATCCGACACATATTTTGGGTTTCCCGGGCACAGCAAAACATGGACTTTGTCATCAGTTATAACCAAATGGGAGGCGGGGGGTATCATTTAGTGAACTCATTGCTCACAGTACCTCTAGTTAATATCGTGAAAAGGCTCTAAGATTTCAAATCACAAGAAAAATAATTCTCTAGTGGTCCATAGCTGAAGAGATTTTATATGGATTTCAGAATGATAATGTTAAAAGCTAGTCATTTAATTTATGGGTAATGCTTCTTGCAAAATTATGAATTTATTTATTCTTCAGAAACTTAAGTCAACAAAAGATCATGTAAACATCTGCTCAGATAAACTGCATTTATAAACTGTATTGCTATAAAGAAATTGTAAATCTATCACTTTTTAGTCTTGTTTTGAACATATTTTATTGACAAGCAAAAGGATAAGAAACAAGTTCTAACAACTTACTAGTTCTTCTCCTTAAAAAAAAACACATAATAATTGTCATGCAAAATAGTAGCAAAAATTAACGTATACAAATAAGATTCAATAATATATCTAGCTAAATCTACAGGATTCATTTATAAATTTATGAACAGCGGCAAAAAAGCCAATGTTTACTTCGATTGAGAGATTTTCGTTGCCCCATGGCAGTAGGTGTACATCTATGATGTTTAAATCTAGTCGAAAAAGATAGTCAAAAAGATTACTTCGAGCATTACAGTATTTTTTACAAACAAAGAAAAAATGATAGGCATCTTCCTGTTTACCACAAGAGCAATAGGGATTATCAATGATATTACGTTTGAATAAGTCTTGATTCAATACACAGTTGTGCCTTAATTTAGTATGAATGATGTTGGTAATACGTTTACCAAACAAAAAATATGATGGTGCTTTAGGATTATTATCACTTATAATCTTACGAAAAGAATTGACTGAGATGGCTTCCCTTGTATCTGCATTTTTTAACTGCATTAGGTACAAACGATTTGTTGAATATTTCTAACCTGCCCCTTGGTATAGTTAATTGATCCTTATTTTGTGTATTGTATCTTGATGTGTGTTCTCGTTTCTTTGGGACTATATCTTGTATATAATCCGGTACATTACAATTATTAATTTTGAATATTGTAATCATTTTAGATTGGTAACGACAGTTTTTCAAAGGTACCCATCCTGTTTCAAAATAGAGTGATTCTCTTGAAGCCAGTTTCGGAAGACCAGTAACTATTCTAGCAGCCATTAATTGTACTTTTTCAAGTTTTTCTACATCAGATAAAGAGCAACCATCCCAGACAATTGAAGCATATTCAAGTGTAGGTCTTACAAATGTTGTATACAAAAGAGAAAGATTTTTCCTACCGATTGAAAATTTCAACTTCTTCAGTAACCCCAATTTCTTATAAGCATTATTAACAATACCATCTATATATTCAGACCAGCTGAGATTTTGTGACAACAATATACCCAAATGGCGATGCGCCGATACAAACTCCAGTGCATTACCTTGAAAATACAAGTTAGGTAAAACAGGTCTATGTTTTAAAGAAAAAAATACAACCTTTGTTTTTGCTGGATTAAATCTTAAAAGCCATTTACTCGACCATTTATCTAAAACATCAAGATCATGGTTTAACCTGTATTCTATATCTAGTACATTATATGATGCATGTTGCAGTGAATTGTCATCAGCAAATAATCTACACATTGTAAACATATTTTCAGCAACATCATTAATATATATCAAAAATAAAAGAGGACCTAGAACTGAGCCTTGAGGCACACCTGCATATATATTGAGGTTGGATGATAGCAGATCTTTATACATAACTTTTTGTGATCTATTTCTCAAGTAACTTGTAAACCACAGTAAAAGATCACCAGATATTCCATACGTTTGTAATTTGAAAAGAAGACCCTTGTGCCATACTCTGTCGAATGCTTTAGATAGATCGCAAAAAACCATACAACACGATTTGCCTTCGTCTATACTTTGCACAATACTATGATAAGTATCTAGAAGTTGGTACACTGTAGAGTGACCAGGTAAAAAACCCGCCTGATATCGATAAAATAAATTGTTATTATGAAAATAATTATACACGTGTTTGAAAATAATTCTCTCCATAATTTTGCTAACGCAGCTTAACAACGACACAGGCCTACATTTAGACACTAAAGACGGATCATCCTTTTTAAAGAGAGGTAATACATGAGCTACTTTCCACATGGACGGGAAAACATTCTCTGACAGTGATTTATTAAATAACATAGTCAATGGTTTTGAAACAGTAGAAACAGTATTTTTAAGCATTTTGTGACTGATGCAGTCGGGACCTGTGGCTCTACTAACAGGAATTATTGAAATAATGTCAACTACCTCTTGTTCATTAATTATGATATTACTAAGATTATCACTACATGAAGAGTAGATTTGTGGTAGACTATGGTTTTTATCCTCAATACAGGAGATGGATGAAAAATAACTGTTGAGTGCTTCAATTTTATCTTGATCAGAAAAGGCTAAGCTATTTTTCCCATTATCAGTAGTAATTTGTAATGGAGGGATATCATTGGATGATTTAACATTAAATGCGTCCTTCATTAGTTTCCAATATAATTTGTTGTTGTTTTTGTTTGCGTCTACTAGGTGCATTTCTATATTGTCATAGTAATTAGCTATAGCATATTTTTTCATGTTATTGAACGTGTTCCGAACTTTTTTGAATTCAGCCCAATCCGAATCTTTCTTCGTTCTTAATGCCTTATTTCGTAATCTATTTCTAAGTCTTAGAGTTTTACGCAGGATGGAGTTCATCCAAGGTTTATCTCGTGGACGAATAGTAATTGTTTTTTCACAGAAAGATTGTCTAACACAAGAGAGAAATTTATTTGAAAAATTGTCGGTAGCTGCGTCTATATTGTCGGCATCATTGATATATTTATCCCAATCACAATTTTGTATTAAGGAATTTAATTTGTCAAAGTCACCATTCTTATAATCCCATACTTTTCTTTCGTAAGCGCGATTGTTATTTATATTCGAGGCTAGTGCAATATAAGTTGCTTTGTGATCACTAAAAGCTGGGTCAATTTCAAGGACACCCGAATCATGTACCTGAATATCCCCTGAAGTGAAAACTGTGTCAAGAAGCGTGCGTGTATTGTTAGAAATTCTCGTTGGTACGTGGATGTTATTGACAAGATTGGAATTTGAAACTATTTCACGTATTATGTGTGTTTGAAGAGTATTTAACAAATCTACATTTATATCACCAACAATTATGATTTTACTCGAGGATTCTCCTACTTTGTCTAAACTCCATGAAAGTTTAGTCCAGAAACTGGCATCAGCGTTTGGAGGTCGATAAATACAGCAGAGATAGTATTTGCAGGTACGGTTTTCGATTTCTAACCAAATACACTCTAAATTAGCTGGTTCATAGTCTTGGCGTCTTGTTACATGTATTTGATTTGAAAAATATATCATAATACCTCCCCCAAAACAATTTCTATCCTTTCGTACTATATTACTAAAATCATCTAATAATAGATTATCATTCGATATGGTATGGTCAAGATGGGTCTCAGTAAAACACAATATATCAAAGTCATGGACGAATGAGTTCAAATAACCTAATTTGTTTCTTATACTGCGAATATTTAGATGCAAAATGTCAAGGACACTTTCGATAGTGGGTCCTGGATTGACCTCAATATCACCACAGGCTAATAATATAAACGTAAACAACTGCAAGTAAAAGTTGATATACACTAAGTTTTTTTTAAACCGTGTCGTACTTCTAAGTAATGTTTTGATCATACTATAAAGAATGTGCGATAAAAATTCACAAACCGAGATGTGGAATGAGTAAGACTTGCATACACCTCTACAGGATAAATAAAAAAGACCGATTGCAGCACGGTATTGTTCAACAGAGTCACCCATTGTCTAAAATTTGGTGAAAGTGTACAGTAGGAAATAAATAAGGTGCTGCAATGGTGTTTTTGGATAAGAGTAACATTAGAGATGGGACTAAAAATACAGAGTTTGGTAAATTCAGCGGAATACATGAAGCATGACAATTGGAGTTGTAAGGATTATAAAGTGTAACACAAAAAAATAATACAACAAAAAAATGAACAAAGAAATATACATTGAGAATAATAACAAAACAAAGAAACAGGAAACAGGAATATTGTGTGTAGTAAATATATACAAACACTGTGTTGTACACACAATACTTTTTACAAGATTTTTTTGCATCAAAAAAGTTTGAGGTTGATTGAACCTCTAAGTCTTGAAATGTACAAGTAAGCTGAACTGCACAGAACAAAAGACATAAACTGATGCAGTTCATTTTACATGAGTTTTAAGAAACAGAAAAAAACTGGTGTGGGAGGAAAGTTAATGTCCTAAATTTATTTAAACGCATTTCAGATTACCGTTTTTTTTTTATTGGTAACAATTTAATCGATTGCCATTTTTTAGTCCATTAACACACGTGAGTTTTTTTTATACATATTAAGGATTATTTTCTGACCTTATTACTGCCCGTCTTGGCCTGAGAACTGACCGCTTCATTTGGCTTACTTGTGATGATCTCTACCTCTCTCCCATACACACTAAAACTATTGGCTGTGTCACTCCCTTGGAGAGTTCTGTAAAAATTGAAAATATTCCTTCTATATATCAGATTCCTGCTTTTCAAATCAAATCAAATCATATGACATATGATTTTGACATAGATCCATCAAATTAAATGTAACAAGCCTATAAAATTCATGTTAATGAAATGTGTTCAAAAGTATAATAACTATGTAATAAAACAATTCAATTTTATTACATAAGATGCCTAAACTATAAGTCTTACATGAGCTGCCTGGGTACGGGGTTGTCGTACATTGTCATCATTAACTCTGCCAATGTAGGGTTAGTGGCATCACCTGATCCTGGCACTTCAGTGCTAAAAAAAGAATTAATTTACATATAGGCATGACACACTTAACAATTTCCTATTTAGAGCAAACATTCTAGAACAATTAATCATCTTTCATCCTCTGGTTGTACTCTCTGCTGAACCTGTAGTAAGTTATTCTTGAAATTTACTTTCAGATTTCCCTATTAATCTTGGCTTGAAAATGAATTTAACAATTGTTTTTAAACAAATAAAGATGCTTTGATTGATTTAAATAAACAAATAAGGTATAAAACCCCTGACCTAGTGAGAAGCAGAGACGGATTACCTGTCTGTAACTTGGTTTAGTGTTGGACCAGGTGGGACAGTCAAACTTCCAGTGGATAGGCCTGTTAAGTAAAAGATTTATTATTCAAGTGAAAAGTGAATATAGGTATCCAGTTACACAACTGCCTGGTTAATGCCAAAATATTAGTTGGTGCACCAGATCTTGTGCATCTGAATAAATGTGAACTCTACCCATTATCTAAATAAAGGAAATGTGTACATTCTGATGTACAAAGCTAATATATCAAAGCTATATAAATTGATGCTGACTATGAGGTGTTCCTCTATATTAATGTGATACCTTACCAATTTGACCAATTTTATTGGTATTGAAACTGAGGAAATTCGGGAAATAAAATTACGTTTTGGATGACTACATCGCCAGGAGAGGCAGTTAAGTAAAGGTAGACCAGAAATAGTGGAAAAGTAAATGATTTTTCAATTGTGTGACTCTTATTCTCATTTTTACCGTTTGATTTCTGAAGATTAAGTAATTCCTGCAGGAGCTGGCCTGTATCGCCGGTTGACTGCAGGGACGATGCTGGACTATCTCCGTGATCCATTGCTGTCAACTACTAACAAACGGAATAAAACTTCATTGATAATACGTATATTCCTTTCAAGAACAAGGAGAAGCCTTGGTCATTGACTATTTTACAATAAATTACATTGGATTTATGCTTTTTTGACAAGCAAGGATCCAAATATGGCGGCTCTCGAATTTTCTCGTAAATATGTTTTATTGCCTTAAATCTTGAAAAGATCTTAAAATATATAAAAGAATTACGATAAAATCACTGAAAATGTTCTAAATTTCTCATTTTTTCTATCGTTAAAAATTAAATCAGCAAAATTATCATTAAAAGACTCGATGTAAAATCGTCTGATTGTAATATCCGTTTTATCCGGAAAATATCAACTACCATCGCAGCAAGCTCAAATAAAAAAGCTTGTTGGAAAGGCCCGAGAAGTGGTTATTATAATTGTCACGGTAGAGTAATTTTTAAAGATTTGTAACATTTTTAAAATCCAATTTTGATAAAAAGATTGCAACTGCTCGATCAGCACAGGTTCTTGTAAGAAATTCTCAGCATATTAAAAATCATAGGCGGATCGCGTAATTTGGGTGAGATAGACTGTTTTTCAGAGACAATATAGGCTGGTAAGACAATTATATTCACTTTGTGAATTTCGTATCAAGAGTAAAGTTCTTGTTATTGTTGAATTTACGCAATTATGACACCACCCACCCCAATAAAAAAAAAACTTCCTATTTATTTTCTCGAGAAATAAATCATTCTTTACATAAAAATCAATCTAATTAATTAGATTGCATAAAAAAACTAAGCATCATTTTGATTTAATAAATAAATTGATATATCAAATTTTATTTATCTTTTGGACATAAAAAAGGGGGGCTCCCTTCCAAATCCACCAGTGTTTTGCACCCCATCCCCCTGCATGGTCTCATTTTTTCAATCAATGCCTTTCGCCTCAATTTATGTTTTTGTTTGTTTGTTTGTTTGTTTGTTTGTTTTTTTGTTTTTTTTTTTTTTGTTTGTGTTTGTTTTATTTATTTATTATTATTTTGTTTTGTATTGTTTTTCTTAATATTTTTTCTTTTGCGAAGAAATAAAGAAATATAGAATTTTTAAAGAAAAAAATATAGTGCACGATTTCTGAGTCAAACGACTTTCCTGTATAAATGATGATGAAGACAGTTATTTAAAAAAAGTAATTATTTTCGGTAATATTTGTCTGCTGCCTGAAAAAAAGATCGGGATCGGGATCAACTGTAAACCAAATATGAATTTGGTTATACCGAGTTGTAAACATGTAAAAAAAAAAAAAAAAAGAAAGATAATAAATAAATAATTGCACTAAGAATACTTAGTTATGAATACAACAAACATACGCTACAGTAAACTAATTCAGCGTACCCTGTAAAGAAAGACAGTATTTACTATGTTTTCCGTTCATTAGTTGCATCACATAAATATTGAGTTCCGGTTTCAGATTTGGATTTGTTTGAAACAATGTGTGACGAAGAAGATTACAGTTCAGGCAGCGACGAAGATTACGTACCATCGGGTAATTTTTTCACTGATACTCAAAATTAGCTGTAATATTATTAAACTCATATGTTAAAGTAGCATGTAACATTCCCGTAATGAAAAGATTCCACATGTTCCAAACATGAAACAAAGCCTTTAAGGGAAACAAAAATCTTATATTTTCAGTCTTAGGCAGAAAAAAATAATAAAAGACTAAAAGTCAGAAAAAATAAACATGTCTATGGACAATTGTAGGGAGTGTCACTGAGTTTAATTTTAATGGCCCAGTGAAGCTGCAGATTTGTAGCTTGCTGGTCTGAAAAATTGGGATGAATGACCAGAGAGCTACAGTGTCACTAGATAGAATGTTCTATCGTTAAAATGATATTGTCCTACGGACCCGGTTTAACGATAGAATCGTAATGTAGCAGAGAGAAACACGGGCGATAACTCGCATAGTGCATTTAATAGGAACAATCTAGAGAGTTCCGAATGTAAACATGGCAGGTAATTTGAATCGCGAGAAAAACGTTGAGAAAATTAATTGGATTTTCGTATTTATATGGATTATTTTTTGGGATAAAAGGCATAAGCAATCTCAAGAAGGTTTGTTTTGATTATTTTGGTAGATATTCCCAGTTCAAGTCATTTTATATTCTTCAAAATCGTTTCGGAGCGGATCCGCTCCGATTTGCAACATTACAAGTATATGGGACGTATTCTAACTGTGGTGAGGGCCTGTACCGAGACACAGTTAGATTATTCTAACTACAGTGTCACCCATTGAAAACATGTACAGTGGACCCTCATTTATCCGGACGCTTTGGTTCCCAGTCAATTTGTCCGGATATGTGAAGCATCCGGATATCTGAATCACCAGTTAAACAAGACAGAATAACATTTTCAAATTTCGTTCCGATGAAAAATCGTCCGGATACTGAAGCATCCGGATATCTGGCGTCCGGATATCTGAAGGTCCACTGTATATTTATCGTGCAAAAAATGTTTGCTGTTTCTCTAATAATTTTTCTGTATATATCAAAATACCTGACTAACCATGTGTTTCTAACATATTTTCTTACTACTTCCACAAAAAAACTTGATGTACAAGATACATCTGAAGAGGGGTAACCCGAATTACCGAAATGCCCCTGATTTACCGAAATGCCCTTGGGAATTACCGAAATGCCCCCTAAAACTACCAAAATGCCCCTTGAATTACATTCTAATAGTCATTTTATGTTAATTTATGATAAATATTACTAACAAAACTGTGTATTTTGAACACAAATGTTAAAAAAATGTTTAACTGGCTAAAATATTGTGACCTCTAAGAGCGATAACTCTTGCAACATTGTGTCAGCGGGAAGCATTTACTGTCCGTTATTTTATGATCTCTCTCTCTTTCTCTCTCTCTCCTTTATTTTGTTGAACAAATTTTATACTGCATGTCTTGTTAAGTATTTAAAAAGAAGAAGAGGAAACATAGCAGAAATACAAGTAAGTATACACAGTTTTATTTACATCTCATATAAGTATAATAAACGCAATTTTAAAAAAGAGAGATTTTTAAAATTCGACTTCTGGGTAATCACAAGCTGTAAATAAATAAAAAGCAGTAGACAACGTCGGCCAAAGTATACAGGAAACTACAAACTTAACTACTGACTGTGATAAAATATTAACATTGTGTGACGGAAAAGGTGAGTTATAACAATTTTAATACTTTTATATACTTTTATTTTTCTAATGAAAATTGTATAAAACAAAAAAAAAACATCCTTGACAAATTGGTAAAAGAAGTATTAAGAATGTTCGTCTGTATCATTAGTCAGGTTTTCGACCATGATAATTAGTTTGCTCCGTACGTCTCTAGCAGATAGGATTCTGATGAAACTGTCATTGGTAAGTCCTTTGGGTCGGAGTAAAGAGCACTCTAAATCCTGAAATATTGTTAATTTTACATAAAAATAACAAAACTCGGAATTTGAAGTATCAATAATCATATTACTAAACTTGTCAACAATATTGAAGTTCCTTGTTATACAAGAAATATTAATTATGCCAATTTCATGTTAAGTGAGCATGCAGAGTTCTATAGGTAAAAATTTTTTTTTTAAAAAAATGCAATCATGCTTAAAAAAAATTACGACACGTCTGAATACTGGTCCTACATAGTAACTGGAGCTCATGGCTAAGATATCATTGATTTAAATTATTTTGTACTTATTTTTTGATCAAAATGTTGATTACAAATAAATAAAATCAACCATCATCATAATCATTTCGTCTGATCGCTTTAAAGAAGAATTAGAAGCGGATTACGGAAAATTAAACTACTAAAAATAATTATTTGAATTGTTTGAAGAAAGCCATATGTGAATGTTTTTTTTTTTTTTTTCGTTTTTATACATATTAAGGGCTTACTACCAGCTAAGAAATAAAAAAAACTTACCTCTCCAGTGCTTTAAAAGTCGTACTCTTTCTCATAGCAATCTCGGCAAATTTTTTAATGGATAACGGTACGCAGTGGGAGACTACGTAAACCCCTGGGGTTTAGAGTTGTAAAATTTATAACCAAATAAACAAATCTATAGCATATTAAACTTAAAAAAATTTAAGTAATTAATTCAAATTATTCAGCATGTAAATCGACATCATCAAGAAAAAAATATTTCTGCAAGCTACACATGTAATATGAATACAAATACTACCAGAGTTATCTCTCTTAGATATTAGATAAACGAACCTTTTGAAAGAAAACAATACATTTGTAATATTTTTTTAATTCAATTTTTTTGAAAATATGTATAATTAACTCACTACCTTTTATAAAAACCAACTTTTCTAAGTTTTAAAGGGGCATTTCGGTAGTTTTAGGGGGCATTTCGGTAAATCAGGGGCATTTCGGTAATTCGAGGTACCGTCTGAAGAGTGCTTTACCAAGTTGGCTTGACACTCAAAATGACCATATAAACAGGCAAATTCTTATAGTCTTAATTTCAGGCCAAGGAGGGTTATCACCAAAGGTTTTGGGGACCTACTGTAGTCATGGTAGTGGGTAAATAAGGCAGAAACACTCGGTTTGTAATATTTTGAGATGGCATTTGAAAGATATACAGCTATAATTTGTGGGCTGATTGTAACCACATCTTCCAGGAAAAATTACAAATCTTGATTGTTTTTCTTATCTCTCTATCAATCACATTAAGCCATTCTATGATAATTAAGATGATGTGAATTTGAGATGTCAGCTGAATCCCTATCTAAATCTTTATGAATGCTTAATTTAAATTTAATTGGTGCTTATCAATTACATAAGCAATCCCTAAAATATTGAATGCAATTTGACAGGGGTCCCACAGCAATGTGTTGACTCAGAACCCCCAGCATAGCAAGGATTTGATTTTGAATGTAATGAACATTATTTTCAATGCACAGAACTGTTGTTCTCTGGTAATCAATCCAAATTTTCAAAATTACATATCTGCAGCATTTGTGTATTTTGTGGTTTTAAGTAAATTCAGGTCTTATAAGGATTATTTAATGAATTACAGATGGGGAAGCCGTGAGTGAGGAAGAAAATTCTGGAGAGGAAGAGGATTTTGATGCTCTCCATAAAGAGGCTGAAGAAGGGGAAACCAAGTCAGGAAAACGAAAACGGAAAAACCAAAAAGGGCTTACAGCTAGGTAAAGTGATAATAGGGAAAACCCAAAAAGGGCTCACAGCTAGGGAAAGTGATATAAACAAGGGGAAACCCAGAAAAGAGTTTACAGCTAGGTAAAGTGATATAAACAAGGGAAAACCCAGAAAAGGGTATGGTTTGATTAAAGAAAAATCACAAAATGCAAGATAATTATTCTTATTAAGGAAAGAAAGGATAAAGTCAAAGTAAATTGGGCAAATCACAGACTCATGGGTTGACAGTTGACACTAGGTAAAAACATGTTAAAGGGAAAATAAGGGAGAGAGAAATTTCCAGGGGAAACTCAGAAAGGAGGAAATTATACAAAAGAGAGAAAGCTCTGAGGATATCTAGAAAGGTGGGAAATTTAAGATACAAGAGAGAAAGCTCTGAGAATATCTAGAAAGGGGGGATAAGTGAAAATAGATGAGAAGAGTTATTAAATAATCTTAACGATTTATTTGATAATTTTGGTTATTTTCATGACTTATAAGCAAGGAACACTCATTTTTCCCCCAGAAAGCGTAAAGGTGGTATAAAGCTTGAGGGGGACACTGAAGACACAAAGGAATCAGAGGATAACTACAACAAAGTCTTGTCAGAGGAGGTCAAAAAAGAACAAGAGGCCAAAATAGAGGAGCAAGAGAAGAAGAAGGCAGATGACCTGTGGTCAAGTTTTCTGTCCGATGTCGGGAGTCGACCAAAAGCAAAGCCAGCCACTCCCAGTGGAAGTTCACTAGCCAGTATGTCCAAGGTACAATGTCTGCTATACTAGTAGTAAAGCAGAAATTATCTAATAGAATATCAATTTCTTATTGTTTCACCAACAGATTTGTCATTAAGTTTGATTGATTCCGATTGATTCAAGTGTTACTGGCTCATGAGCAATTCTAGCACTCTCTATGTAACCTTTGCAGCCAATCAAAAGTCCAGTTACTCCAACTTCAAAAAAAGTCACAGTCACAAAAGAGTTTGATTTTGCTGGAGAGACAGTTAAGTAGGTGTTCAGTATAATTTATATTGTTTAACTGGGAATCCCTCTTGTTCTTATTATAAACAGTCAAACATTGTTATCTATAACATGTACATCGATGTAGGGGCCAAGAAAAATACTTGGATCTATCTGATGATTCAAGATAATAACAACATATAAAGAAATACGAAGTTGAGATTTTTAAGTTTAATACTTGGGCATATCCAAAGTATTCAAGATATTGGTGTTCAAGAAACAGAATTTGAACTGAACATTGTCACAGAACTTGAAAATAAAAATACAAGCTGCATATTGTACTTTCTATTCTCAAGGGTTACCAAAGATATAGATTTAAATACAGAAGAAGGAAAAAAGGAAATGAAAAAGTTGACACAAGAAAAGAAAGAACCAGAACAGAAGCCAGCAACACCAGGACCAACAGTTCTGTAAGTATTTATCCTATAAGGTACATAATTACTGGACAAAGATGAGATTTATACCCCCCGAGGTCAGGGTTGATGTCCCATTCTTGATTTAGAGTTTGAAATTCTGATTATGTTCTAATTACATTCTCTTCCTGGTTCTAGACCATCGTCCCAAACCACAGTCAAAATGTACGATCCTCTCCCATTCTGGCTGTGGTTGAATGAGAAGAGAATATTTCGGAGCTCATTAAAATAGTGACCAATGCGAGTAAAGCATAGTCTGATAATGAACTTTGATGCAACCTTTCAACACCCAGTCATAATGTAGGAAATATTTCTTGTATACTGCTGATGTCAGTTGTTGATTTCAATTGCAATGGAGACAAAAATTGTCATTGGCTGAATATGACGTCACAATAGAAAGGTGTAAATTTTCAAGATAACACTTTTTGTGATCAAGCAGCCACGGGTAGGAGAGAGCTATGTGCAGACTCCAGACCCTGGCTTAAGGCAATTCCAGACTTGCTTCAGTCAAGGGTTACATTTTTTAAATGTTACATTTATTTTTTTTCCAGAGGGAAGAAGCCAGGTGGACTTGGCAGTGTGCTGAATAAAATTGGAAAGAAAGATAAAATCAGTACTCTGGTATGTCATCTCTGCTTTCCAATAAGTTAAAAAGTCAACTCATACAACACTTCACACTAGAGGAATTGCTGTATCATATAAAAGTTAGTTCCCTTGCAGTTGAATTGGAAAGTTTTAATCTCAAAATTTAGAGCTTTTTTAGCATTTTGAAAGGAACTGTTTATTTGTATCAGTTGACAGTGTCAGTGGGCGATGTCACCTGAGACTTTGGCTCAGGTAAATGAGATATATTTGTCTATTCATTTATACATGTACATGCACCTGTCATGCAGTTCGATTGAAAACATCAAGCTTTAAGTTTAAACACCTTATTAATTTTTGATTTTTCAGGAGAAATCAAAGTTAGACTGGGACAGTTTTAAACAAGAGAAAGGAATCTCAGAGGAACTTCAGACTCACAACAGAGGAAAAGACGGGTAAGGTGTCATTAAATCACACAATAATGTAATAACTGTACAGAGGAGAAGACGGGTAAGGCCTCCTTAAATCACACAATAATATAATAACTGCACAGAGGAGAAGATGGGTAAGGCCTCATTAAATCACACAATAATATTATAATAACTATACAGAGGAAAAGATGGGTAAGGCCTCATTAAATCACACAATAATGTTATAAATATATATTATTATAACAGTAACTTGATCAAAAGGGTCGTATCACGTTGAGTTGACAGGCGCGGATCATCAGATCAGACGATCCTTCAAAAATTGTGTAAAGAAAGAACACTCACCCCGTCATTTTTTACTTTTGGTGATCGTTACTGGAGTGTAATTCATACTAGATTAAGGCACAATTGTGTTCTAAATAAAGACTTATTTAGGTGTAATATTATTGACAGTCCACTATGTACTTGCGGAAAAATAGAAGATGCATATCATTTCTTTTTTTCTTGTGTGAACTACACTGCCCCAAGAAATGACTTGTTCAATGCTATTTTTAGAATGATAAATTTACGTATTGTAGACACTCATGTTCTATTATTGGGAGATAATTCGATAAGTATTTCTGAAAATGAAAGTTTATTTTTAAATGTGCAATTGTTTATTAAGAGATCTGGTCGTTTTTGAGTAATGTTTTTAGATTTGTATGTCCATACTACATTAATTCAATTCTGTACATGCATTGCCTATGTTAGATAATCTTATTGACCTTTGGTTCCTGTGTAAATTAATTTTGAACAATACTTTGCGTTACAATTTGTTATAAAGGAGAGGACGTTCTAAGTTTTTAAGAACTTGTGTCCAATCCTTTTGTTATAACATCAAAACAATAAAATATGTTCAAACCAAACCAAACCATCAGACGAGATGCAAAGAGTCAAGTTTGATCTGATGATCCGAGCCTGTCAACTCGAGGTGATACTGCTCTTCCCACCAGTTTACTGTTATAATGATAAATTTATTATATACCCCCTTATAACTAGCTAAATATAGCAAAATAAAACTTAAGAGATCAATTGTATAATATTTATATCCATAAAACAAAGCATAATGTTAAGGAACTTTTTAATGCACAAGAAAAATAACATCATGTTTCTGCGTACTACATCATCAGTTTCAGAGAGTGGTGATATGGATTCAGAAAACCACAGTGTGGTGATCCGGAAAGTCGGATCACGACGTCACGTGATAGCGTAAAATCAACAGTAAAATTGAGTGATACACATTAGGTACATAATAAATATAGGGATCTACCTCAAGTTTACAACAGGGGATGACTAGATGGGTAGGACTTGATCAGGGAGAAGTACAAATTGTGTATCAGACCTTAGACTGAAACATATACATGTGTATCATGTTATTTAGAAAAAATTAAAATGCTCACAATATTGCATCATGTTTATATATGTATATACATTAAATATAAGTAACAAAGTAGTAAATAGTTTCAAGACACCTGTATGAAGTATTCCTTCTTTTGTTTTAGATACATAGAGAGGATGCAGTTTCTTAACAGAGCAGATCAAAGACAATTTGAAATTGAAAAAAATATACGACTTGGATTGAGTAGCAAAAGATGACACAAGAGTACATAGTACGCCTCCATTGTTGTGAACATTACTGTGAACTCACAGGGACATCTCTTTCTGTGACAACTTCTTCATTTCTTAGGAGCTCAACAGGATTTGAGCCTGTTTTATTTACTGGTTAAACCAGACTGGGAAGCTTCTTCAAGGGTTGTTCAAAATATTAAATCCTGGTGTGAAACTTGTGTAAATAAATGCACACAGTGTATTTATATCCTGTATGCTATTTTTGTTAATAAGTTATAGGGATATAATGGCTTTTTTCTCTTCAAGACAGGATATACACACGTTGAAAAGGCAATATTTTGTCTGTCAAAAGAATTTCTGGACTATAACTGAACAAAGGAATTGGTAAAGATCAATGTCTGCCCACAAAATCAAATGTTGATGATAAAGACTCTGAAAGTATGTTCTAAGCACAGAAGATGTAGACAGTCTTCAAGACATTTAACATTTTTCATTCAAAATTTCAATTATTTCAAAAGAAAACAGTGCACTGTAAGTCAATAATATGACTTGAAACTATCTATCACAGATCGTCTCCATCTTTTATATCATGCATAGAGTGATGTCATTAAAATGTGTGAAAATAGATCATGAACAAGTTTGCAGAATTGTGTCTTTTGGAAACAAAATTAAAAGGACAAGGTAGGGTAATGGCCAAATCTGGCCCCTTATTTGATGTAAAAATTAGATCACTGGCAAAACTGTGATAGTTTGTAATTAAGAACTTAAAATGATGCTTTAAAATCAGCACCATTTCGGATTCAAAGCTTACATGGAAGCCACTAGAGGTTGTAGAAGTAGGATATTTTCCCAAATTCCCTCAATTAATTCTGGTAGAATTTCATATTATTTGAGATATATTTCTCTTTGGAAAACATAGAGCACAAGCTTGCCTATCTGAGATTTTTACACATAGTTGATATTAAAAAGATATAAATTCGGTAGATAGGCAAGTTTGTTCTGTATGCTTCTCGAAACAAAATGTGCTGCAAAATCAATGAAAAATGCGAAAAATTGAAAATTTACTTATTTTCTGACCTTTCTGTGACCTTTGCATATTTCAAAACTTGAAACCAATACTCATTTTGTGGCAGGGATGACCAACAGGTTTCTATGGATAAATTGTTGCATCATTCTGAAAGACTCCCAAAATCAGGGGCCAAAAACAGGTCTTACCTTTTCTTGTCCTTTAGAAAATTTGTGCTTTTTTTTAGCTCACCTGAGCTGAAAGTTCTGATGATCACCTGTTGTCCATCTCCAGCAGTCTGTCTGTCCGTATGTAAACTTTTCACATTTTCAACTTCCATTCAAGAATCAATGGGCCAATTTTAATCAAAACTGGTACAAAGCATTGAGGTGATCATGGTGAAGGGGAGTTTAAACTAGAAAAATGAAGGGACAAACTCCCTTCCAAGGGGAGATAGTTAAGAAAAGACAAAAAAGGGATTGAGTCCTAAAAAAATCTCAAGAACCACTTGGCCAGAAAAGCTGAAACTTATGTTGAAGCATCCTGGGGTAGTATAGATTCTAAATTTTTCAAATCATGACCCGGCCTCAGGGTAGGAGAGGGCAACAATAGGGTATTTACATTGAAATACATGTCTATGATAAAAGTCTTCTCAAGAATGGCTGGACCAGAAAAGCTGGAACTTTTGTGCATCCTACAGAAGTTTAGATTCTAAATTATTGAAAACATGACCCCAGGGGATAGGGCAGCGCCTCAATAGAGAATCCTAGTTTTACAGTGAAATACGTAGAAATAAAAAAAAAAACAAGCCTTCTCAAGAACAAGGATCGTGATTTTTAAAATCATGATGCATGGGAGTAGGGTGGGGCCACAACGGGTATTACAAGAGGGGAAATTCGCCGAAGAACAGTTGAAGGCCAAAGTCATTCCGATGAGCGTCGTGGCCCATAGGCCTCTCGTTATACAAGTAAAGAAAATTCCCTTGTGGGACATCAAAGAGAAGAAATTACAGATTTTACAGATGCTGGTAATTTATTTGTAATACATGTTTAAAATTTAAATATTAATAAAAATAATTTAATGAACATGATGAATTTACTAGCATCGAATTCATGCTGGAAAATTGTGTCTAGCATCTTGTCATCATTTACTCTGAGCAAATTAGAACGACTATTAAGGAATTTGGATATGAAACAAATCATCTTCATCATCCAAGGGTTCCTGATCCGCTTCTCTCCTCAAAGAAGACTAGCTGATAGAAAGTCATCGCTAGCGAAGCTGGTAAAAAAAAAAAACAGAACAGGGCTATTTAGCATAACGCAAGATCATGAAAAGCCAGTGGATTGATATAACATTGGTCTCATAGGCATTGATCCTGAGACAATACTGTTTGAGATTAATGAATACAATGTGTAAGAATAAGATCTGTCATATTCCATATACCCGTTTATACATAGGGTTGATGGCGGGTATAACGGGTCAACAAGGGATGTTTACTCCTCCAAGGCACCTGATCCCTCCTCTGGAACGTCCAGGTCTGTGTTTATACCCTCTTCACATATTTATAAGATCAAAGATTTTTAATTTTCTCAATTAAGATTAACTAGTATCTCAAAAATGCATGTAAACTAACTTACTAAACAGAGACCGCTGCATATCAACCACTTTCCAAAAAACCTATAAGGTTAAGGTAAAAATGAAAGTCAAATCTATAAATGTATTTAGTTGGCTGTATGATTTTTATCTCTTCTGAGCCAAAAGGTACTAGTACTTTGTCAGTTGGTGCATCTAGGGTCCTTAAAGTGTCGTCAATTTAACTGAAAAATATCGTATATTTACTCGGTTAATCACTGGTCATTTGCAAAATGATTTTGTTAAAAACAGTCTAATTCTACACACAAGTACTCTGAAGTTGACATTAAAATATGCTGAGTTTCTGATTGACAATATGTACATAATTTGTACTTCTCGGAGATCAGGTTTTGCAACAATCTGTTGTATTTCTCATGGGTACCAGTTGCGCCCCGTCATTAGCAGACCAATGTTTTTTGTAGAGTGTGATACATTTGTTTCATATTTGAATAATTTTTTTAGAAAAAAAAGCATTAAAGTAATAAAACTTTATGATAAACGTAAATACTAAGTACTTCATTTTTTTCTGTCGTTAACCTCCCTTACTTAGGTAGCTATATACCCTCATACCCTTGCATTATAAGGTTTTCGTCTCATAGGCTAGTTGATTCGATCCGTCAAAAACGAGGCAAGCTGTCGAGATTACTGGTTACTTTAATGGCCAGGACGAGACCAAAGCAGTAATTTTAATATTATAGAATTTGGGCATCTTGCAGACAAACTCTTTAATTTGCATCATAATCAAGTACTTAAAAGCATTTAACTCAGGGATCGGGTCATTTTATGCAATAAACTTCTCCGAAGTTCTCGGGGTTTTTTTATTCTAAAAAGTATTTGTTCATAAAAAGTCCGAAAATTATGTACTGTAGAAATTGTTGAAGGGATGAATGAAACTAATCACACATCTGCTTTTTTTCCATATACTTTATAAAAAAAAAAGTCAAATACTATTTTTAAAATCTATCCCAACTCATGGTTATGGGTCGGTAAGTTGGCGGGAAAAGTCTTTTTTCCAGAAAATTTCAACGTATTTGTTGAAAATATTTGAGGAATAATAAAAATATTGTGACCTGGAATTTTAACAAAAAGTTTTGAGTCAGGCAATTAAGATGGTCGGGAGAATGCTAACCAGACATTTTTTGAAGATGGCCTTGATACTTCAGAATGTTGAAATGTGATTTTATAAAAAGTTGGTTTCAATCATATTCGTTGACAGGGCATATAGTCCAATCCACTTTTTGTAAAAGTTGTGTCCTTCTGCGAGGTCAACCGAAAGATCAAAAGGGAAAGAAATGACATTTCTCTATATGCTACCAACCATTTGGGCTTTCTCTGAGAAATCCACTGTGTTTAAATTTTTCTCTCTCGACCTAATGTGTAGCCCCAGATTGGGGCAATCAACATGATGCACACATTTTTTTAGTCAGATCACTCAGATGACGAAGTTACAAAACAGAATACAAAAGCTACTGTAAGGATTCCAATCTCCCGTGCAGAGTTGTCGTTCGTTCCCTCTCAGACATATGAGCTGATGGTAGCTCTAGAGTGAAAGGGGGTTTCCCCAAAGATGGCGGCCAAGGGACATAACTTTTGAAAAGTGTGGATTCAACTTATATTATACAAGATTTGTCCCAACAGGTCGTTCAAAGCTGTCGAGTTCTGGTATTAAAATAGTCTGATAATTAACCTTCAAGCCAGTAAAAATGGATATTTTCATCATGTCTTTTCTTAAACACTAAAAAGGGGGGCAGGGGATGGGGTTAATCATTTCCGAGGTGTTTCTGTCCGAGGTGTTCCGAATCTCTTTTTTGACATCGGCGCATGCCTTTCCTTCCCACGATGTCAACAAGGACAGTGTAATATACACACGTGTTGATCTCAAAGTTTTTACGTGGGAAAATAAGGATTTAATTTGTCTTTTATTTTTGAAGAGCACCTCAACATGTAAATTCACATTGTTTTGTGTAATAACTCAGTTTACGGTGAGTCTGGCTTTATACTTAAATTCTAAGTTTTAGGATTAAACGCTAGAGGTCATATAAAAAAAATTTTAATATATAAATGTAAATATTAGGCTGATTTTGATATTCAGCTTTCAATAGGGCTTAGTACATGTATGACCGATGTCACTCACTGTATTTATTTCTCCCACTGCCATTCAATAAGCATTTTCTTTTTTTTAAAAATGAAATTAAAGGTCAGAAGACGCAGCATTAGTTGTCTCTCTTTGCCAAGAGGATCCAGGATCTGCATCATGTCGGTTTTGGCGGACTTCGGCAACAGTGACAGTTCTTGCTGTATCCAGGATTTAGTATGTTCACTTAACCAAAACAAGTTTATGAAAAAACTGTCAATATTTTTTTTTTAAATAAGGTAAAAATTAGTAAGAATAATTTCTATTTTGTCAGATTTTATTGGAAATTTTAAGATATATTTTTTTATTTAATAAATTAGTGTTTAGATTCTAATTCTGGTAAGTATTGTTTCATTTAAGGCTAGTAACTGCTACAATCAAATTATTTCCTTAGTCTGTCAATTTAAAAATTTCTATATTAATCATTAACAGCCAAAATATTGTAAATATTTCAATTGTTTGTTTGTTGCAATTTTTCTTTTTGAATTTTCTCTGTTCAAAAATGTTTCATCTTCGTATTTTTAATTTTTTTTTGTGCTTGTATGTTTTCGTTATAATTTATTTCTTTACACATCATGATTTTTTTCACAGTTTATATTTATTTTATGATTTTGTGAAATACATTTGCACGTCAAAACTTTTCAGAGATGGTCACTGCGCGTAAAATTCCCATAGAAATTTATAGAAAAACATGATATAAATTTTCTTTCTATTCTAAGGTGAGAGAGAAGGAGAGAGTAAAGAAAAGTGAAAACAGAAAAAAAACATATTAATATAAAAAGTTAATGATCACATCAAATGTAAATTGTTATACACTGATAATTGTACATTTTCTACTTTCCTGTAAACTTTAGGTTTTGGAGGTTGCAGTGACGCCCTTACATATCCTGTGGGTGACCTGTACACTGCCCCCGGGGAGTGGGGGTTTAGCGCGGACAATGTCCTCAGTGATTCGGTCTCCTCCACCACTTGTCTGGTCAGAGTTTTAAAATTATATCAATTTGTAGGAGATGTTCGTACGTTTAAGTCGATTTTCAGATTTTAATAAATTGGCTTCTTGGTCTTGTTCGGTGCAAAAATTTTAATGACTTTTTAATTAAAAATTTGAATTAAGAGAAGATAAGATTATTTAATTTAAAGTCAGGTAATTCAACAAAACAACAATAGCTCTGAAGAGCTAGCGCTATTTTCAGACTACAAAATGGTAGTTTTGATTATTTGCTAAAATGAATTATGTGCAACATGTCCAACAAATATGATTTATTGTAGTATATTGTATGTTTCTGTTTGTAGATAGACGTAAGCTGTGATGACCGATACAATACTCTGATACAGCAGCTGACCTTCATGATTCCACAGACTTATCTGGACACGCCCATTGATGAAGTATGCTCCACGTCTATAGATCTATACATGTATATATTTACTGTCAACAGGAAAAATAATATTTTTCTGTAACAGGGGATGGTAAAAACTTTTGTAACATGACATTTATTCCGTATTTCAGTAATATGTTGCATGGAAATCACTGGTTGCCTTGGAAATTTACATTTATAGTCAATTAAATTCGGCTAATTTTGTGGTATTTACATTTATATCAATTCTGTTAATGAGCACTGCCCCCCCCCCCCTCCCTTTCCCCTAAGAAACATATTTGAAAAAATATTTGCAAATTTGAAAAACTAAAGTTTGAAAAAGTCCAAGGTGAAAAAGTCAATTGTGGTTCCAGAGGGAAGGCCTTGTCAATAACAATTCACATATTTAAATATGAGCACTTGTTACAATTTTAAATTGATTGAACTCCAAGGCCAAAGTCAAAAGGAAAAAAGATGTTATAAAGAAATGCCTTGTCATAAGGAAAACACTTGTGAAGTATGAGATCACTTATTTCAGCCATTTTACAGCCAAGATTTAAGTTTGGCAAAATTATCTTGTCAACTCAGTCAACTTCTAAGGCCAAGACAAGAGGTTGAATAAGTTTGTACGAATAAAAAGGACTTCTCCCAAGAAATATACATGTGAAATATGATAGTGTTACAAAAGCACAAACTAATTAAAAGTTATTGACAAAAAGCTAAACAGATAGACGGCCTGAGCAAAAACTATATGCCCTAAAAAAATTTCCATTACAAGAGCATATTAGAAATTCTTTTTGGTGGTAATTAAAAGTTTTTCCAAATAAAAAAACTGAGTTAATTTGAATAAAATCTCAACAATAATGATCCATTCTGAAATAAATGAAAATATTCAGTATTTTCTTCTGGGTCTTGTAGTTGTCTGTCGTCAGAGGTGCTTCGGACTATATCGCCCATCTACGACAGATTCTGGAAAACACGAATTCGACTGACACTGCATCAGAACCGGAAATGGAGAGAGGTAGGGTGTTCATCCCTCAGTCCGGAACAGACCACATGCGTTACGTTCAGACCGGAAGTGCAGTCTTTGACGAGGACACGTCCGATATATGGAACCTGGAGTATGGTGAAGCTGATGGATGGCCCAAATCACCCCTCAAGTTCCCAGTCCTTGAAAATCAGTCAGAAGTAATGTCCATGACAGACCTTCCTCGCCCAGTTACCTTGTGGCAAAATAAGTTTTCTGACACTCATTCCAACAAGCAATACACCAATCAGGTACATTTGAACAACGAACAACTTTACCTTCACGAGGAAATTCCCCGCAGCGTCAATGGCGACCGTGAAGTGAAAGATTCAAGAACAACCCATAAAAGCCGGAGGAACTCACACATGGTTATATGTGATCCCCATTTTCCAGAATTAGTCTCTTATTTTGGGGCAAATGACGGTTTTACTGGTGGAAATGTCATTGAGAAGGACGCACTCTTCACGTCTGATCACAGCACACGTGGTGAAGATGGCCAGTTCACCAGAATCAGAGACCCGGGACTTAGAGATTGCCTCTCCTCTCCATTATACAGCACTCATGAAATGGCCTCCTTGGAGAAATATCCCGTCCTTTCATCTCTTTTGGATGAAACAGGTTTGTTCTGCAATTTAAAGTTTTCTTTTAAAATCAAAACCTTTAGAACTGTGTATGTTGTTTCTAGCAGTTGAAACATCGATTAGATTGTTACTACTGGGAAAAAGTTCAAATTATCCACAAGTTAAAAACTATGGAATATAATTTATAGGTGCGTGTAACTCTGAATGCAGCTGTAATGATAGCACTGCCACCGCTGTTGGATCAACCGTCAGAAAACATGCAGCCAGCTGGCCACAGTCCCAGTCCTTAGTCTCGTCAGTGAAGTGTTTTGATGGATGGCGATTTTCAGGGAAGGCTGATGAAGTTGAAGATGATGACGATGACGTATTTTTTCCGTCAAGTCAAACCGAGCCCGATTCTACCACTGATAGGCACTGTAAGGATAAAGGCAGGACTACAGGTATCTTTAGTTGATGTTAAATACATACCATTAACTGACCAGTAATTAGCCTGGTGAAATTCTTCAAAAATGCTACTTTTCCTACAGTTTTGGTCCGATTATCGCTTTGATTAGCAAAATGTGTTGTCATGGAAACAAAAATACATGTAGATATTTTTATGATATTCTTTCAAAAGGCTATTCATACTTTTGTCCAGCTGTAATTAATTAAATTAAACTCTATACAAAAAGACTGAAAATAGAATCATTTTTATTTACTGGTATAATTGTATTGCAGTTACCATAGTTTCAAGTCCAAGTGATACTTTTCTCTACTTTAATTCTGGTTTTGTATGTAGCTTCGATAGATTTTCAGATCATATATTATATAACTATATTAGTTAAACGTTTAATTCTTGATCTGAAAAAACAACTATATTAGTAGACAAAAATTTATTTTATGCAATAGATATTGCTTCTTTCGGATGGATTACATAATCCTTTTTGTTCAAAAACTTCTTTTTGTATTCATATTGATATAAAGCAATTAGTGTATAAAAATGCGGTCTAATAAATCGTAAAAACTAGATTAACTGATGTGTAGAATTGAATATTCTTCACTTTTTATTGGCCTAATGTGAGCGGACCTTTTCAGGACTACGGAGACCTAAGAATGGATTTATACGTTTTTCTGTGGAGTATCGTAAACGTTTGGCCAAACAACATCCCAAGCTTGATAACCGGGAAGTGTCCAAAATGTTAGGCGCGAAATGGCGCAGGATGAGCCACGAAGAAAAAATACCATACGAGTAAGAATTGTTTCTATTTTAGGTACATGTATATCGTATTCCCTTCCATTTAGGTTAAAACTGATTTCGAATACCGCGAGAAAGAACATTCTGAAAAATGACTTTATAATAATACAATATATAAAAGGTATAACATAATTGTTGTATTGCAGTATTCAGCATGGAAAAGTCTTGGGTCCAAATTTTAATTTTTGAACTCGTCTGTATTTTTATAATTTCGAATATGAGTACATTATTTATACTTATAGAATGGAATTCCGAAAAGACATACTGGAGCTTCGCTCCAAACACCCGGAGTGGAGGTACGCACCCCTGAAACAAATGGAGACCGAGCACATAGAACCCATGCCGAGCCGCCTGAGACCCCGGGATAAACTCAAAAAGAAGGTAGGTGGGCTTATACAGCTTTTGGAGTACGTATAAGCGTAATACTAGTATGTCAAAATATATATTTGTTATGAAATTGAGATTTCCGATAATTGTAAGTTAAATAATTTTCTAAAATCTTGATTGTTGATACTAAACTACATAAGTATTTATGGTCAGTCCTTGCGTACTTTAGTTTCTTCCAACCATCATCAAGTATGGTCCAGCAATCTCAGATAAGAAGCAGACACGTGTTTCGCGCAAGAAGCGCGGGAAAATGGCGCAGTACAATACGTACAACTCGTTTGCTTGGTTCCAGTGCAAACTGTGCTATCGGTGGAGATACGTGCCGTGTATTGATGACGGAAATCTGCCGTTATATCAGTCTATGTGGTCAGTATATCCACGCTTCTCAAACATCTTAATTACTAGTAATTCAATGTGTTAAGAAAAACTACCAAAGGTAATGAAAACATCCAGAAAAATTACAGTAGAGTAACTGTATCTTTTTGTTCCCCAGGTTTTGTCACATGAATCCAGATCCCACGTGCAACTCTTGTTTTGCCGAGGGTGGATTGTCTGTAAACAATACGGAAATGACGTCATCAGTCGCTAGGGTGTACCAGACCGGTCCACTCAATTCCATGCCTGTCTTTACATCCGCCTCTATGCCCCTGCTGGAAGGAGATTTTGGAATAGATTTTAGATAGCAGAAGTGGGCGGTACTGTGTGAAAGTGTACTTCACTGTTTTGTTGTGATTGACAGATGTTGAAAGTTTTCCTGAAATGATTTTTATGAATTGGATAAATTCAAACGGGAGTATTACAACAACGATTTTATAAGCATTAACATTGTTTGCAATAAAATGTATGCAAAATACTACTGTTTTTCTTGCTTCTTTAATTTCTTTTGAAAAGGTTGAAAAGGTTCATATCTCTGATGAAAAACTATTTTCATATAGAATTGATCATAAACATGTTGGTAAAGTGTATAGGTATAGTGCTAAAATTCATTTTATTGGGAATTGGGATATCATCTTTAACTGTTTAAAATGTATCCAGTTATCAATCGAGAATTAGTGGTGCTTTAAATGTAGCATCCAGTGGCGAACAAACATAAAGAAAAGCTAGAATAAATTTTCAGACAGGTAGAACCACGTAAAATCAATTTTCATCTCGGTGTGCGCGGCCGGTGATCTCGGAAAACAATTTACATTTCGAGCATCCTTGTCAATCTTCCTCTGGCGGTGAAAATGCCAAAAACGAGATAATGGACAAATAACAAAATTGTGTGTAATCAAACGCCAATGACGCATACTGTCTTACACGGATGAGTGAACCTCATGAATACTCATTAACAACAATTCGCGCGAGAAACCTATCCCAACAGGATAAATGGCTTTCGCACGTGCCTGCGCAATGCAAGCGCGTTCTGGCACGTGCCTATGGATGTCGCGATTGTTGAGAAATGTCAGGTGAACATCAAAGCAAACCTCTTTATCGAAAATCTAGATACCGTGCAAATAACAGTAAAAGAGGGTTACCTGTGTCCTTATAATGGAAAGTGTGTTCAATATCGAGAGCGTCCAACAGTGTAGTCGGGGGGATAGATTGGTTGTGTGTTAATGTATGCAATCAATCTCGGCATCAAATAATTATTGTATTTTTTTATTTTACAAAAAAGAGAGTTATTGCTTTGTTTAAATAGAGTTTTTTGTAAAGTATTTTGCAAGCTATTGTTAGGATCGCTTTGAAAATTCAGATGAAAGTTTTGTTAGGCGGATGGGGTTATACTGATATTCTAAGCGTAAAATATTTTGTGGAAGCATGAAAAACAACCAAAAAAACATTCATACCTTGAAAATAATGTGTAACTTCCAATTCAATGCTTTTCTGAATTAAAAGCAACAGCAATTTAAATTGTCTGCAAGTTAAAAAAAAATTATTAAAAAAAACTGTTCTGAATCTGTCAAACTCAGATATAAGGACCTACATGTAATGGGGACAACAGGGAATCGCATGTGTACGTGCACAGGTGATACACATACATGTACAATACCATGTATTAAATACATGTATGCTCAAAAGTATAGACAAAACAACAATTGGTACGAGTATTCATGCCTTAATGGTTCCCATCTGATCACTTCCTTGGAGGAGAGATGTTTAATTCTCACTTTTAAAACTTTCCAGACACAACAAAAAATTGTATTTCCAAAATTCAGTTGATAAATTCAAATTTCGTAGGGGACATTATGCTTATTAATGAGCGGCAAAACAATTCTTATATTCTGTAAATCTCTCCATGAGGCAAAATTAACACACATTGTCAAAATTGGTATTCCGCCATATTTTTTTTTAATCATGTCTTTGACCATTTCTGCGATATATAAATATAATAAGTTCACTATTGGCATATAAACATAGCCTTATGTGACAACCAATAGCTTTGAGTTTCAGTGAAAATCGTCTTGTCGATATGAACAATAATGGCTTTGAGAGGTCAGAGTTGGGAGACAGGGTGTTAATTAATCCGGGAATGTTACAGGGAGTCGGGCACAAGACCTTCTCACGCGATCCCAGAATTCAACACGAGAGGCGTGTGCAGCCTTCCCTGACCTCTGCTACTTAATCATACTAGAGGATACCCTGTACACGTGTATGTGTGATAGTCAGTCGCCAAACTAACGTACTGCTAAATAGATCACGATATCGTGCACTTTACTGTCATTTTCAGAGACCTAAATGGATATTTAACATACATGTCTTTCTTTGAAAAATCTTTCGCCAAATAGCCTCTTCACTCACAGAATGTGACGAAGAGCTCTAAAATTGTAGAGTAGCATCCCGCCACGGAACGTAAAGACTGGTCCTTTGCATCAGACCGTTTATAAACCACGAAAAATATGTTTCGATGTTTCGATTCCGAGAATTTCATCATTGTAAAATGATAAAATAAATTAATAATACTGTTTATCTTATGTTTATTTTATCAAATATTTCCTATGAATGGTTCGCCCGCGTGGCGCAGTGGTTAGAGCGTCTGCTCTAGAGTCGCCAAGTAAGGAGTTGATCTTTACGTCGCGGTTTCGAATCCTACTGTGGGACGTGGAGACTGGTCCTTCGGATGAGACCGTATAAACCGAGGTCCCGTGTCACAGAAGGTGCTGGCACGAAAAAAAATCCCACTCTGCTCAATGGCCCTGAGTACCGAGTGTAGGACAAAATTTGTAACTCTCCATCGGCAAGTGGTGACGTCTCCATATGAGTGAAAAATCCTCGAGAGGGACGATAAACAACATACAATCATTCAATCAATCAATTCTATCCCTGGTATTTTTCAGATGCACGTAATTCCTTCTAAACCGTTTAGAGTTGTGTTCCGTTTTTATATTTTAGCACGATGTATGTTGTACATGGATATTTTGTACTATAAAAGCGTTTAAAAAGTCCATAATGGGCATAAACACTGTATTTCCATTTAACTTTGTACTCCCAGTACATTTCAGTACCAAGATTATAGTTAAGAATACAAAGGAACCGACAGTATATCAACAAGATCCATTTCCAGGCGTTCCAGTTTTTTGTTAAAAGATGTAAATAAGCGGTATGTTCAACGTTAATTAGCTGATACTGTTAACAGTGCAAAGGAATAAAAACAGGATCGTGCAAGTCATCGTAGATAATACTTAATTGTTTTCCTTTTAAGACATCCAGAAATAACCAAATCGCGAGATGTCGTCATTAAGCATTAACGAATCTTGTCCTAACAAACTCGGCATCAATTCATTTTTACATTCAATATTAAGCTGCACTTCCGGCGAGGCTTTTTCCAGCTAGCGTGTCTTGCATCGTAAAGAAAAAACGACGAGGAAAAACGCCCGTATATCTATGAGAATGTTGCAAGCTCTGATCCCCGGCATGAAACGGGCAATTAGATACTCTATACAGTAAATTATCTATCCGAAACAGGACGATGTCATCAAAGCATTTTGACTTTATGGCCACCATTTTGTCATTAAACTCGTAATTAGGCAGAATATTTCTACCTAAGATGGCCCACCTGAAGTGTTCGGGCAGGCGGTAAATGATCTCGACACGGAGACGTTACTTATGGAGTAATTAACTCCTGGGAAGGGAATCGAAGTTCCAATTCATGGAGGCCAATAATGGACTGGGGACAAATCAGCAGCAACAATTGGCAAAGGGTATCTTATTTATGTAAACTGTGAACAGCAATCAACAGCGACAAACACAAATTATGCCATCCATGCAGCACTCAACAATGTACTACATGTAACTTGTCAACAGAAACAACCAACAAGGAATACGTTTCATACATGTAACCAGTCAACAGCAATAATCAACAAGGCTCCCATGCTTAAAAATTAGAAAAGAGCGAATCTTACAACATGCACAACCGTCACCAGACAACAGCAAGAAACAACAACACATTCCAGAAACGTAAACATTCAAGAATCGTGCAATGTCTGCTGATAATTAGAATTTTGTTCTGTCTTTCGCCTCATTCCATTTAACAAAAAAAGACAGTACCCTCCTTTTCCGGAAATTGTTTTGTATGTGATACCTTGATTACGTTTGGAATGAGATGTTGTTTATCGATGTTGTATTGTTACACTGTACTTGTTAAATAACTTGTGTTCTGTTGTTGTCCACCGATTGCATGTACATAGTATATTGTATATTCTTATTGTTCACTGATTACATGTACAGAGTATATTGTATATTCTTGCGGGTCACTGATTACGTGTACATAGTATATTGTATATTCTTATTGTTCACTGATTACATGTACATAGTATATTGTATATTCTTATTGTTCACTGATTACATGTACAGAGTATATTGTATATTCTTATTGTTCACTGATTACGTGTACATAGTATATTGTATATTCTTGCGGGTCACTGATTACGTGTACATAGTATATTGTATATTCTTATTGTTCACTGATTACGTGTACATAGTATATTGTATATTCTTATTGTTCACTTATTACATGTACAGAGTATATTGTATATTCTTATTGTTCACTGATTATGTGTACACGTATATTGTATATCCTTATTGTTCACTGATTACGTGTACATAGTATATTATATATTCTTATTGTTCACTGATTACGTGTACATAGTATATTGTATATTCTTATTGTTCACTGATTACATGTACAGAGTATATTGTATATTCTTATTGTTCACTGATTACGTGTACATAGTATATTGTATATTCTTGCGGGTCACTTATTACATGTACATAGTATATTGTATATTCTTATTGTTCACTGATTACATGTACAGAGTATATTGTATATTCTTGCGGGTCACTGATTACGTGTACATAGTATATTGTATATTCTTGCGGGTCACTGATTACGTGTACATAGTATATTATATATTCTTATTGTTCACTGATTACGTGTACATAGTATATTGTATATTCTTATTGTTCACTGATTACATGTACAGAGTATATTGTATATTCTTATTGTTCACTGATTACGTGTACATAGTATATTGTATATTCTTGCGGGTCACTGATTACGTGTACATAGTATATTATATATTCTTATTGTTCACTGATTACGTGTACATAGTATATTGTATATTCTTGCGGGTCACTGATTACGTGTACATAGTATATTGTATATTCTTATTGTTCACTGATTACGTGTACATAGTATATTGTATATTCTTATTGTTCACTTATTACGTGTACATAGTATATTGTATATTCTTATTGTTCACTTATTACATGTACAGAGTATATTGTATATTCTTGTTGTTCACTTATTACATGTACAGAGTATATTGTATATTCTTGTTCACTTATTACATTACAGAGTATTTTGTATATTCTTTTTGTTTACTGATGCAATGTACAGAGTATATTGTGTACAGTGTATTCTTGCTGTTCACTGATGAAATGTACAGAATATATTGTATATTTTTACTGTTCACCTATTACATGTACAGAATATATTGTATATTCTTGCTGTTCATAGCTGTTCAGTGATTATATATACAGAGTATATTGTATATTTTTATCAGGCATGGAGAAATTGCCCAAACTCGAAAATCCTATTTCGTGGTGGTAGTGATGGTGGTGGGGGGTGGGGGTGAGGGATACTTGCTAACATTTTTTCAAGGCCAACTTCCTTTCACTTGCATTTTTCCCATAAAATACTACATATCCTTGATATCATTATGCTAAGATAAGAAGTGGGGGAGCCTTCCAACCTTTCAATAGACATTTTCAATAGTAAAGGTAATGTTGGGAAAAAAAGTGTATATTCTTATTGGGGGGGGGAGGGGGGACAGTATATCCCCCCCCCCCCCCCTGCTGCTACGTCCCTGCATATGGTTGAATAAATATTCTATTGTACTATTGTACTATTGTTCACTGACTTACATGAATAGAGCATATTCTTACTGTTTACTGATTACATGTACAGAGTATATTGTTGACTTTTGCTGTTGACAGGAATCATGATTGACTGACCCAGTGACTGTTACTGTTGAATGCTCTTGTTGTTCACTGATTACATGCTATGGATACCTCGTTACTTGTTGCTGTTATTGAAAATATGCGGAAAAGGAAGACTGCTGGATTTTAAATGGAAATATGTGAAAGACACCGATATATTCAAAGTGTTACAGACGCTATAGATTTTTGAACTGATGAAATAAGATCCCGGGCTCACAAAAACTAACGAATCATATGTTTCTTCATCGTCACAAACCACGGCCAAAATGTACAATCCTCTCCCATTCTGGAGAAAGCTATATGCGGGCTCCGGATCATGGCTTGAGACAATTAGGTCCCTTGGACGTGTATCTAAGTCATGTGCGGATCACGGGGGGCCCCCTCCCCTCGGGAAGTTGAAGAGTTATTAAAAACATATACTAAACCGAGTAAAAGTGAACTTAGATCCCAATAGAAAACACTGATCCCCTCCTCAAAAACGTGAATCAGTGTTGAGTTGGTATGAAAAGTCATGGTTTTACACGTTTGCGAAAGAAGTTTCCATTTTTTTTTTTTTTTTTTTTTTGCTTGTCAAGAGATTTTTGGGTTGGAATTTTTTTGACTGGGTTGGAACACCCCCCCCCCCCAAAAAAAAAAATTCTGAATCCGCGCCTGTAAGTCGGCTCAATCCTTAAAATTATTTGATTATAGACAACTTTAAATTATAATGTACAACATATATTTAAGAGAACTGGAAGACGTCATGTTAAAAATTTCTTTTGTATCTTAACAACATATAGGCCTATACTGTTTAAGAACTGACAAATTAAGTCTGCATGATAATAAATTGCGTTGTCTTATTTATGATCGAAACAGATACGAAAAATTATACTAGAGAAATGTGCATATAATCAAAACCAAAAATGAGTATTTAACTATATATATATATATAATAATTCATTGGGTCTTGTTAAGGACAAAGATAAAAATAGTATTGAAGTAATTAACACAAATATTAAGCGACATAATGTACACAGCACATAATTTTGTTTGCTTCTCCTCTAAAATACTGCTCACATGAAAGAAGAAAAAAAATTATCCCCTATGAAAACAAAAAAAAATGTATCGATAAACAAGTAAAAAAAAAATAATAAAATGGCGAAAAAACGAAAGGGAATGATTAATTTTAAACACACATTGATACCGCGAATAATTACAGGCATAAAAATGGATTTGTAACGCGTGTTGTAATGTTTATCATTTTTTAGCTAAATCATATTTGTGTGATTACATAAAATCTGACACGCGTCATATTTCAAAATTTATTTGATATTTGATAGTCATCAGTGTTTTGGGGGTTGCAATGACTGCTTCAGTATAATATCTTCTCAGCGCAGAGAGGAAAACACGTGTACTTTCAATTTTGTCCCGTAACCTTTTTTTGTATTTAGAAATTGAACCGCTTCAAGTAATGGACGTTTCTTTGTATATAATTTCATATTTGTGAAATTGTACGTCAGTGATCACACAGCAGTATCTGCTGATTTCTATGTGTACTTGTAAATAAATACATGTCCAGACTACCTTACAAATCTACACACATCTATGAGAGTCAAAAGGGGGGGGGTCATCATCTTTTTACTCAGCGTACTTTATCAAGCTAAAAAACAGAAAAGAAAGAAAAGGTGAAAGAAGCAGAGATAAAAATTAAACATTTTTTTTAAATATACATTTTCTTACGTTAAAAAGCCACATGCATAAAAGAATACATTTTACATTACTTTAAAAAAGATGAAATCCAAAACTAAAACATTCAGCAATTATTTTACTTAAAAGGTCTTAAAACTTTTCTTTCTTGAAGGCACAATTAAAATGCAACTTTTTTATTTGGCTAGTAAGTATTATGAAAAGATTAATTTTGAAAAAAGAATCCCATGTTTAATCGTGTCGATTTCAAAAAATAACTTTGTTAAACTGATGTACTAAATGTCAAACTAAACTCAAGAAACTGATGTACTAAATGTCAAACTAAACTCAAGGTACTGGGTCGAATGACCCTGTAAAACAATTTTGCAGCGCACCTGCAATAAGTGCACGTTTTTCCAATTTTGCTAGAGGCGCGTGCAAACTTTCACTCTTTTGCACGTGCTTAAGAAGCATACGCCGGTCTCTGTATACAATGTTCAGACAGGAGACGAGTATAAAAGGATTTCTGGGTCGTTTACAAGCTATCATTAAGATTTCAATACAATTATTTCAGCAGACTACACCTTGCTAATAATGAAATGATCTCTTGGTTTTGCCCATTTACGGTTGTAAACTGTCAAACAGACAATTATTTATTAAGAGTGCAGAAAATTTTAAGTTTCAAATTTGTTTTCTGAAACAAAAAGAGAAAGTTGAAATTCGACAGCATTGATTTAACACAAAAGAGTAAAGGTAAACACAATTAAAAAAAAATAATAAAGTTACGATTTGATTCATCGGATGAATTTTTAAAAAAAGAGAGCTAGAGAGGTTAGAACAGGCAGTGTTAGAACACAGACTAATAATTATTTAATTTTTTTCTAATTTAATGTTACAATTTTTTTTAAATAGTTAAAATTAATCTCTCCTTTACGTCCTTATTATAAATAAACGGAGCCTTTTAAGTTTCAGGCCTTTGATAAACAACTGTTTGCGCATTTGAAAGAAAACGTGTCTAAATAAACTAATATATACAGTTCATTGAGTACTCGCAAATCAGTGATCTATGAAAATTAAGGCAAATGATACCAGCAACTGTGAGAAAAGTAACTTTGTAGTCAATATTGACAGAAATCTTTTTTCATATGTCGCGTTCTAGAACTCGGATCAAAGTACATTTGTTTTCACAGAAAACGATTTCATCAACGAAGGTTTCATTTGGTCAACAATGATTTTAATATACCCCGCACCGCTGCTTACTTCTGCATTGTTATCCTCCAAAGGCCCACGGTATACACAATAATGAAAAAAATTCTATGGCGATTATGTCAAATATGTTTCCCATTAGTGACAGCAAGGCTCTAAATCTTAACAAATATTTCGTTAACGCAGAGTCAACAATAAGCATTGAACGAAATGAAAGTGATTTCGGCTACAATACAGCCCCCGTAGGCCAATTAAAACCTGTGAAAAGTAAATGAAAAAGGTTCTGTCTGTTTTATCGGCATTTACAGTTAAAATCCCAGCCACCAAAATACAAGCATTAACGTGATTTCTCTCAATAATATGCCCTTCTTTGGATTACTGACAGATATTGCCTTTCACATAATTCCGTTTAAGGCCCCGCCCCCTTATTTGCCCCGCCCCTTGTAATGGGCCGCTGATTGGTTACATTTCCGCGGCTATAATCTAACTTGACTTTCCGTACAAATATCGACTTTTTACACAAAAATCAATCACCGTTTGTACACATTATTTCCAGTTGTTTCGGAACTTATTTAAAATCCAAGTTTGAAAGCTTCCTTCCCAGACTTTATACCGACTTCCCATGTAACCGTCCGGAGCGAGTTCCGCCGGCGGGAAATTGTTACATCTAAATCGGAAACGAAAATCAAGTTCCGATAATTGGACAAGAACACATATCAAATAAGTTCTAGATATAAAATTTTTATATTGGACACTTTGGAAATTGTTCACCAAATGCAGGGAATGAAGCAACAAGATTACTACCGAGCCTGCAGTTTTCCGGCGTTTTCAGGAATGGTATTTCCGGGTAAGATTCTATTCGGGAAATTACATTCTGCCCCGAAAGGAAAAACCTTTAAGGGATTTCCTTTCTTTGCTGAACATACAGGAATAATTATTTCCGGTGTTATTTTTTCTGCTGACCAAATAAAATTATTGGCCATCATTATTTTTGACGAATTTTGAAAATTGTCTTAGAGAACACGGGATTTTTTTTTTATTAATTAACAGTCTGTTTTAATTTTTGGTCACAGATCCTGCTTATGGAAAGAGTGCCTGGTCGCCACAGTCCAGTCCCGCCAGCCCAGGTATTTTTTTTAATCTTAATAATTTATGTAAACTTCATATTATTTTAATTAAAATTAAAACCTTAATTAAATTTTGTTTTAATGAAGGGTTGTTTTGATAAAATTGTAGTTTTCCCATTCACCAAGCAAAAATATTATGAAATATTTGTACTGATTTATTTAAATAATTTCTTTTTCTATATTACATGTATTTTTTTAAAACGAAATGCAAGTTTAATTACACGAAATATGAATCGCTGTTCACGTACCAGCAATAATGTTATGCGATATATTTTTATTTTCATTCTTTTTAAAAAACACACAAATTTTTAACATCAATATTTACTGACTTTTTCTATTACTTTTAGCCTATCCACACCCGGGGACGCTGTCGGCTATTGGTAAGCCCGGATTTGACGGGGGACCCCACTCTCACTGGCGACCTCAGGGTGAGTGGAATGATTTCAGCTGATTTGATTTGAATACGGTTAATACTGTTATAAGCCCCTTCTAAATATGGAGTTTGTTTGGTCCCTACAATTCCTTCGAAAAAAAAATTACAAATTTTGAATAGAAATATTTCTGAATTTTAATTTTTTCATGGGCGTTGATGATAGTTACACATGTTAGTACCGTATGGATATGTTCTAAACTTTGAGTTTTACTACCACTTGGTAAATTCAAAATTTACACATGACAGTATCCGCAAAAATATTCACGCGCAATCTCCTTATTCGTTTTTTTTTTGGATTTATTTTTTAGCATTTCTTAGATCGCATTTTCCTCTATGTAATACACAATGAATCCACATTAACACACAGAGATGGTCTGCTATATTATATATTCCAAATAGATAATATAATATATCTGATTGTAATCTGTTGATTGATTATCATTTATTTTTAAATATAGTTAAAATAGTTTTGGTAAATGCAAAACTAAGTAGTATGATATATTCTGAATATCAACTAATTTATCTCTACATACTCAGCACATGAAAATGCAATATTTTATATAAAATTTACATGTTTGTTTTTTTTATTTTAAGAAACACAAATTTTTATCACTTTGATACAGTTTGGTTTCTTTTTTTAACACTGGAAAATGTTGATATTTAATATTAAAATGAGCCTAGGAAAGAAAAATAAAGCAATTGAAAAAGTACATTTCTTACTTGAAAGTAGATATAACAATTTTAAACAACTCTATGTGTCAAAGCAGACAAATATGGGGAATTAACTGTATAATTGTATCTTTTATTGGGAAATATTGGCACTCTCCTGTGGTTTATTCCCTGAACGTCTACTAATTATAAAATTATTTAATTATCACACTCAATAGAGAGGCCCTCTAAGGGGTCCAGGTAGAGTTAACCTGTGTTACCTTGATGTGATTAAATACTTTAATATTTATCTTCATATACAATAAATATTTTTTATTTAAAAAAAACAACTTTTAAAATTAGAAAAAGTACTAAACAAGACATGTAAAGATAATTTTTGACAACTTATCTTCAAAAATAATTTCAAAAATCCAATTTAATTGGGGGTGAGGTCACTGAGGTGAGGAATTTCAGAGCCCTTATTTTTTTAAGCTTGCCGTTAATAAAGGTACAGTATTAATATCTAATAAAACTGGTCACAAATAGCAAGATAAGCGGTGTTTTTAATTGTTGCTAAAAATTATTTATGAAAAATATACATCAATTGATATGGATAAAATCTTCAAAAATTAATAATAAAATTTTGGTGTGTCCTTTAATATACAGGTGTAGATAATTCAGGTAAACTAGTTAGAGGGCCCCTTAATTGAGTGTGATAATTACATAATTTTATAATTAGTAGACGTTCAGGGAACACACGTTAAACATAATGTTTGTCCTGGAATCAAAGCTATGTCAACATCCCAAGCACCTGTGTTTTAATATCTCAACAGTTCAATCGCTCTGCCACAGTCGTGTTTGCGATGTTAACAAGTAAAAAAAAATTGCATTATCTAACTAAATGACCAGTGCATAATTTGTAATAACAACTAATTCAAGTGCGAAAGCAGGGAATATTTTATTTGATGTACTAAATAAATAAATAAATAAATAAATAGAAACTAAGACTTTTCTACAAATTTAAATTTCTTCAATTTTATAAATAACATATTGATATTTAAACTTATCTTTGGTGGATAGCTCGTTTTTAATTGTAAAATAATTTATTTAAAATGCCAGGTCGCTTTAATTTACTAATTACTTATTTCTATTTATTCTCAAAAAGATGTAATTCGTGACTCAGAAATAATTCATTAACTGAATTTTAAAATATTTACTTTTGTTCATTTTTAAATTGTGAGCTATGTACGTAATAATATTTGCTTATTATCTCTAGGGAAAATGTGCACATGTAAATCAAATTCCATTTATTAAAAATCTTAGACAACTAGCTTTTTGATAAAATAAATGAAAGTGAAAACATAAAATGAATAAATGTATATGTAAATTTGGAATATTTTATTTCTAAAAGAAAAGAAATGGCGACATAAAAATGAGGCTGGTGAGGCCTTTAATTTTTAAAGACCTAAATATTTTGTCTTTAATTATCAAGAATGATTAAATTGAATTAAATATTCTATTATTTTGGAAATTCAAAAGATAATATAAAAGAGTTATGCCCAGTATTCAGGACAGTTGAAAATCGTGGATTTGACGCTCCCTTTAGTAGGCGTTTAATTTTCATGAAGTACCTAAATCGTTTTGACTTTAAACCAAATTATGCTGAAACAGAGAATTGTTAGAAGAGTCTGATTAATTTTATCTCACCGAATACACAACATCATGTCTCCGATGCTTGTACTTTTAAGATCATTTCATTCATATTTTAATCCTATAAGTTCTGACTAAGTGGCCTTTCTCAGCCGCCTGGAGTTTACATCAAATTATTTTTACCGGATGCGGTATAATTACAATAATCATTACATGATTCATTCACTTTTCCGTTTTTTATTTTAACATTCGTAAAAATATAGATACCCAAAGGACATCACGAACTATCACATAGTTTACGCTAATACATATTTTTTCCAAATGTTCGCCCTTTTTCACACGATTATTTACAGGGACAAAAATTAAGATTGCTACAGTACTCAGAAAACGGTCGTCTCGAGAAAAAAAGTCCGTCCTTGCAATGTTTTTCTATTTAATGAATTATTTCATTCGTAATATTATACAGACCTAAAATGAAAGGGAGAGGACCTATAGTCTTAATTGAGAAAATAGGCTGAAATTATCAAAATACATGTAATCTGATTCAGCGATGTCTAATGAAATAGTCGATACCTTTCCTGGCTTTAACAGCTGGAAGCAACCGGTGGCAGTCTATTATTTACTAAAATTTTTGACATGCTACAACGGTAAAAAAAATTGTTCTGATGTTGCAACCTAATAATGCTTTGGCATCCTTAATACCCGCTCCATTATGTGTAAATAATTTCCTGATTTGATTTTCAGCGCGTTCGTTATAAAAGTTAGAAATACACTCAAATTATCGCTCAATTATCAGAAAATTATAGAACTGTGGAAGACCAAATCCCAGACTGGCCAGCTTACGACACGGCGAAGAAGTATGTGCCGCATAAGTCGGCGAGAAAAAAGTGTCCGAAAGATTAAATAACTTAACGGAACATCTGCCGTTTGTTTTAGAAAATAGCACTTACATTAGACTAGTTGGAATTTTCTTGTTAATTGTTCGTTTTTATCCGATTCGATTAAGCGCCGTACAGGTACTTTCAATTAAAGATCAATATACCTAATATTGCTTTTCAGTCCCTCCGTCACGTGCCGGGGATTCGATCTCAGTGGGATAAATGGGCTTTTCATGTCAAAAACAAGTCTAAGGACTCGATCTGGAAAGCAGGGACTTTTTTAGAATTGTAACTCAGTACAGCAATCAGGCTCTCTTTTGTTACAATCAAGTGTCCCTTCATACCATAACGAGATATACGGGCAATCTAAACGTATCATCTTCAATATTCAGGCATTCAACAGAACAACTTCTTCTTTACAGTGACATTTATTTCTAATTCAGAGAGAGATAACGACTGTTTTGCATAAAATATTGTTTTCCTGCACAGTTTTCTATTTATTGCATCATTGGACTCTTTGACTTTAATTTAAATATAAACGGATTACTAATTTTTTAAAGACAGAGTTCATGCCATTTTGTAAAATCTATTATGTCAAGAGTCCTTGACGCTTGTTTTGAAGGCTTTTTGTCTGAAAAATTGAGTCAGGAATGGCAGACTATGTTTGGATCGGTTTTTTTTCTGTCTGCTTTCCAACTCATTAAGGAAGACAAATGTTTAAGAAAACTATCCTCAGTTCTAATTTTACGTAACAGAAAACACTGAGAGAGAAACATTTTCCCCACACTTATGTAAATTTTTATAAATAATGTACTCAATTTTTAACCCAATTTCAGGAAGTGGTCAGATCCAGTTGTGGCAGTTTCTTCTGGAGCTCCTCTCTGACAGCAGTAACTCGAACTACATCACGTGGGAGGGAACCAACGGGGAGTTCAAACTCGTGGACCCGGATGAGGTTGCCCGTCGGTGGGGCGAGCGAAAGTCCAAACCTAACATGAACTACGATAAACTCAGTCGTGCTCTCCGATACTATTATGATAAAAACATAATGACTAAAGTGCACGGGAAACGGTACGCCTATAAGTTTGATTTCGCGGGTTTGGCCCAGGCCATGCAGCCCGCTGCCGATCCGACAGCCTATAAATATCAACAGGACTTTTTCATGCCTGCCTATCACCCTAGTTCTAAATTCAATTTCATGAATGCTCATTCTCCAATGCCACCCACTACGGGTATATTCGGAAGTCACTCAGGTTATTGGTCACAGACAAATCATTCCATGTATCCGAACATTCCAAACCATCACATGACCCATCCTAGCCATATGACGTCACATCTTGGGTCCTACTATACGTGATCAAATAAAAAGGATCTTATCTGGAAAACATTGAGTGTTAATTTTTTAAGCACGTATATTTTGTGCTTTACTGAGAAATGAGATTTCTTCTTGTGATTCATCTGAGTGATGAATTGTGGGAGTTGGAACGTAGCATTTCTACATTTTCTTGAGCAGTTTCTAGCTTCGAATTCGATTGCAAGGAAAGCCAAGACGGTGTTTTAGTCTTCCGGAAGAAGGCATTGATGGGTTGTTGCCATAAATCAGAATTTCAGAAATGCCAACATCCTCTAATAGATTTTGATATAGGAATGTTGTAATGGAGTTTCGTATTAAGCACAGGGCTGCTGGCAAGACTTTGGGATGTTTCGGAAGTCATTTTCAGCCCAAGTTTTCTCGGGACATTCATCGGAAGGAAATGTACTTCACAATTGGATTCGCCGATAATTTCTTCCTTCATGATAAAGTTTGATGCGGTGATAGGATTCTTGACAGCAACAAAATTGGATTTGGCAGAAGCAAAAGGGAAAAGAAGACAATATTGACTTTGTCGGTTTATGTGACCAGACTATGGAGAGATTTTGATTGCAGTCTTGATCTAAGTGCCTTGAATTAGATTTCTAGATAGAAAGAGAAAACATTTAAAGGCGGCAAGTGACGATGGAAGACCTGCATTGGAGCTAATCTTTTGTGATGGACGTTGCTCGATTGACTCCATCTTTGGTACTAAACGGTCCCTTCGGATTGTGTATTGATTATGGCGTCTTGTTATCGTGACAATAAACTTGTTTTCAAAGACAAGTATGCATATTAATGAATACTTTTCACCAATGGAGGCCGAGGCAAATATTTAATGATGATAGCCATTATTAGACCAACGATCCCTTCTCATCCGTCACCTGCAGATGATCGACTTGATTGCTGAAAAAGCAGACGACCGTTTCAAGATGGCTAATAATATTGCTGCCAAAATTGGCAATAATGATGAAATGTAAATATATTCCTAACCCTTAATGTATAAGGCAATGGGTGCTTAATTTTCTGTTATTTAATGCGCGCGTGCGCTGCACACGCGTTTTTGAGAGGATTTAGACATCCAAGGAAATGTATTTATTCAAATAACCATGCGTAATGTCACATTGAAATGTAACTGAATTTGATTCGAAAAATCAATTAAAAGTTCTTTATTTCATTATTCTTATCCCTGCTCAGCAATACATTTAATTCGTGAGACGCCGAACACTGAATGAAAGCAAATTGTATAATTTTGACTTAATTCGCATGGGAAAATTCTGTAAAGGGATATTTTTTTTGAAAAGAAAGGGATTTAGCACGTGTTCCTCAATTTATTCGATTTCAATAATAATGACGAGAATATCGACTAAGAAATATCTTTCTTCATTTTGTTTTTATTTATTTTATTTCAATGTTATTTTTACACATATTTACATATTGAAAACTATACTTTTTTGAAATCAATAAAAATATTCTTAAAATGTGATATGTATTTCAGAGATATTTAATTATAAAATAAAACAGAGATATTTTGTAGTCAGTTTGAAGTTTTATCTTGTCTGTATATACCCTGGTACATAACGTGGGGGAAATCTGACTAAGAATTACCGGCAGATTTTACCAGAAGGAGAGACCATTTGAACTAGCGTAGAAAACTCCAATATTTTTCTTTTGTTTACTATTATCTACTCAAAGAAATTTTGAAAATGTCGACATGGTAATTCATAGTTAAATTTATAAACAACTAATTATCATTTTATTAAATTTATCAATATTAAATTTTTATTTATATTAGGAAGGGTTAATATGAGGAAGAAAAAATAAATAGTGGATTTAAAAAATTGAGTAATAATACAAAATGTATCAACCAATTTCGAAGTGACAGATTGATACATTTTATTTTACATGTATCAACAATTTTTTTCAGAGGGACAGCTTGATATATTCTATATTACATGTATCCACCAGTTTTTAAGTGATGGGTTGAATTAAATTTAAGAATATCATTTACAATCAGGTGAATTATATTTCTTCCGCCATTTATCATGTACTGTAATTTAACCAAAACCCCTTAGATTTTGTTTATCGTTAGGCCATCTTGAAAAAATTGTTTGGTTGCCCTCTCTCTACTGACTGACTAAAAAAGGCCCTACTCAAAACTTTTTTTAAACATTCCAGGACACAATATTTTTCTTTTAATTCCTCATATCTTGTCAAATAAATCATGTTAAACTTTTCTGAAAAAAATTTTCCCACCTACCTACCGACTCAATAATTTTACACTGAGTCGGGAGAGGGCAAAGAGACATTATTTTAAAGATGACCTTATCAATTGGTGTATGGCTCTCTTTATTTTTAAGACCATGAGATGTTTACGTAATCGTTGACGAGGTTTGATATGAGATCATCACTGGTCAACGTTCTGCCGAGAGGATAGTTAATATGAGAGTTGATAATTAATAAACAATCCCGTCCTCTCAGATGAAGGTGTAACTGCGTAAATACACTTTTATGTCGTTATTAGTTTTTAATAAACTGTCTACAGATTCTAAATAACGGATGTGGTTTTGTTACGCGATTTTTCTTCATTAGCACATTAGTTAAAGTAAAATGCGAAGCTAATTATCACAAAATACCATTCCTATTGCTGACTAGGAGGAAATGTCGATAAACCCTGCACCCCGATGCACTTTTA